ACGCATCTGTGGTCAGAGACTTAATAGCAGAATTCAGAGGAACACCACTTGAGAAATCCCTAGCAAATGGACCATTAAGTTAAAATTCACCATCCGCTCTAATTTGCTCTCTTTCTCCCCTGTCCTTTGGTTGCTGGGCGCTAAAACAAATCCTGCCTCTGTTTGCCCAGTCTTCTATTACAATACTCCAATCAAATATTTGTCAACCTGTGAGCTGCGACCTTCTCTATAAATACGTTACCTGAGGCTTCAGGTAGACAGCACAGGAGACCAGTGACGGACATGTTTCTATCAGACAAGGTAATTATGAGAGTCTTCTTTCATCTTCCTTAAATTCTTATTTTTTCAGATCTCACCAGCATTACAAAATATTAACCATACGTAGGGAGTAATAGAAGTAATTAGACAAAAAATATTGCTGTGTTTAGAAAGGCAGACACAATTGTTTCAACTAGAATCTTCTAACATCAGTTCCATGTCTTCTTGATTGATTGAGTGTAGATTAAAAAATGTTTTTAATACATTTTAGTAGACAATCAAAACAGCCGTTTTATTTTGATTAAAAATGTTTTTTTTTTTTGTTTGTTTTTTAAATCAAATGCTTGGTTTTAACCATCCCATCCTCGTGTTGGAATTTTTTTATATACAAAATATACAAGCAAAATAGGCCAAAAATAAAACTGTTTCACTTTTTATTTTACATTTTATTTATTATTTCAATCTAAAAAATATTTTCATATATAAATAATATCAAAAATGCACATAATAAATATCATTATTTTCAGTTATCACACCCTTGTTACTTTCTTGCAAATCTTTTTCCCAGAAAAGAGCAAGTGGATTAATTTCTTCCAAATTATCTGTTGTGGAAGAAAATTAGTTTATCAGTAGATATCAAAATTGCATAAAAAAATGTTTTGCAATTAAAAAAAAAAAAGTACTATAACCATTCAAAAGGAGAAAGTTTAACACAAAATTTTACTTTTTATTATCATTTTATTTTTTTAATTCTTTGTTGAACAACTTGACTTAAAGGAGGCTGTTTTTTGGAACTTTTAAACTTTCCATAGCAATAGAACAACGGTTTATTTACTAAATAACGAATTACAGTGAAAGCAATGCTTACTTGCAAAATTCAGGCAAATATAACTTATTTGGGAAAAAAAATCTCCTGTCTAATTTAGCCTAAATTTAGCAATTTGGTTTTTAATTGACTACAATTTGTGTTTATAGAATAAATCCTACAATGCACTATTTTAATTAATCATTTATCTGAAATGCCTGAACTAGATGTGTACATAATAATAAGAAAAAAAACAATAAGTACAATAATGTCCGACCTATTTAATATAATAATATCCCTTTATAATATTACATGAACAGCTTTCAGATAACAAAGTCTGACCTGATTAACTAGATTTCTGACTTACAAGATGCACGCCGTAACGAATTGATTAAACAAGCAAACCTTCTGTATTCCATCTTCTTACAAATACTACAGTTTGAAGATATAAATTGAATAAAACGAATCACAAAAAACAGATTTGGGTTAATTTACTAATTCTTAAATTGTAGCGAATTGCTAACTAAATTGTAAGATATATCCAAAGCAGCCAAGCAGTGACTATAGGTGACTTGGATATTCTTTTTAAATTGCTTGTTCATGCCCAAATTTGAAGAAGATGGAATAAAGATTTGCTTTTTTAACGGATTTATTTTGATGAACATTCTCTGTGTTAGAAATCGAGTTCCCCCAGCACGGCTGCAGTTTGTTCATCTAAAAGCTGGTATCTGGGAAGATGAATTCACTTTATCTAGATAAGATATCGGGCTCTTTTTCTAACATGGTATTTATCTGGTTATTTTGTGTATGAAAATATTTGATGCCAAATCTTTGTTTCCCCTTTCAGACGCATTGATTTCATAGACCTATACGTAATGTGTGGATTGAATTAGTGTTTATATGTATGGGTTTAATACATGTGAATGGATGTGCATGCTAAAATAGTCACATATTATATTTAATATATAATCTCCCATTTTCTAGATCGGGGAGTGGCAACCTTCGGTACTCCAAATGTAGTGGAGATGTAGCCCACAACCTCTGCAGTGTTAAAAATGGCCTCCCCCTGTCCTAAATTATAAACTTGTGTGAGAAGTTTTACCTCCTATATCTGTCAAAATTATTTTGTCTGTCAATGACTTGCCCGTACATATCTCTACTGTATAAAAATGCTAATTATATACCTCATTAGCCACTCCTTCACACTCGCATATACAAACTCACTTTACCAGGCGCTCACCTAACAAGCCACACTCCCCAATGGTCAAACACTCATCTAGCCAGCCACCCTGCCACTCACATTGAAAAATACATTCATAACTAGCCACGGATACATAGTTAGCCATCTATTTCCTCTGACTAGGGGTGTTGCCAATTGGCACAAAGAGCGATTGAAAAAGAGATCTTCTTCATTTTAAATCGTTTGTTTATGCCTAAATTTTACAAGAAGATGGGAAAAAATATGAATTTTATAGCCCCTCCTAAAACCAGGCCTATACCATTGCAATTATTTATTTAGTGGCACTATATACCATACCATAAGTCCCCTAATGTGTTCTATAAATCACATTGTCACACTACATTTTACATTGAATTCCATAAATCTACATTTAGAAATCCCCTTTTTCTGCATTGACCATTCACCCCACTGTATATGGTGCATTAACATCGCACTGTCACAAATGATGCAATTTGGGGTGTTATTTCTCTCTCAGTATTACAGGGGTAACTGGGCTAACAATGCCAAAATTAGACCCAGGGCTTTTTAGGACCTCATTAGGGCATACAGCCCGTCTGCCCCCTTGCTCTCATTAGGGCATAATACATCCCCCGTCTGCCCCCTCCACCTCAGGGCATACAGCCCCCATCTGCCCCCTCCATCTCAGGGCATACAGCCCCATCTGCCCCCTCCCTATCAGGGCATACAGCCCCTGCCTGCCCCCTGCCTATCAGGGCATACAGTCCCCGTCTGCCCCCTCCCTATCAGGGCATACAGCCCCTGCCTGCCCCCTCCATCTCTAGTTTATTTTGAAAGGAGCATGGGTTACACAGAGGTTTATTCGGTATTGTGGGATCAGTGAGAGAAAATACAGCTATGTAAATAGATTTTTCTTGTCAGTGGGTAAAGTCACCACTCACGGTTTGTGCTGTTTAATGAGACAATAGTATCAGCCTTTCCATTAACGATAACGATTTGCTTTCGTTGTTGACTTGGAAGTTCTTTGTCTTTTAATATGTTACCTGTAAAAAGGACGTCTGTAAATCAGTCTGTGCGATTCTACTCGTGGTAACAAGGAATATCTGGAGTAATATCACTTTATTTTAGTTAAGATTGGCCGTCCTGAAAGTAATTTCTCATATAATCTCATTTAGTCAAATTCATATAATCATACGTCATAAGATTCTGGGCCTTGCGTGGGATTTACAATGCTTAAAGAAACAACTCAATTTAAAAATAAATTGTTTTTATTTATTTATTTTAATATTTATCTTTCGGGGACCCCCATTTCCACAATAACAAGGTTAACACGAGGTAGCCTCATCGTCAGCCAGCATCAGGAGTGTATCCTCACTGCAGCGCAGACCCCCCCCCATTTTGAAGTCATCATTACTGTCGACTTCTCGCGACCATACAGCGCATGCGTGGTAATTGCCATAATCTGCCTAAAATACTCAGTTGTCTTTTGAAGTACAGTTCAAACCATCTGGGACAGAAAACCCTCCCCACTATCTGATGGACATGTTACTAAGAGGTTTTTATAAATGTAAGTTCTCTTATTTATAAAATAAGCCATAAGGGACATGTAGTTAAACCTTAAAACACTTAAACAGAAGTGCTTTAGGGGTTTGTAATGTTCTTATAACGGCTGTTTGTTACTGACACACATGGTAACTAGCCCATTGATTGGTGTTCATTATTTCATGGAATGAAGAATGTGGAACCTTGGCTTTCTTAAATCACTTAGGAACTAAAACTGTAGTGTAGCACCTATAACCTAATGGTATCATAACCATAATTTTCTTAGAACACTTGAAATCTCCCTTTATTGTCAGAATTCCCAATACACTCAGATGGCTAAAGGTGATAGAAAATTGCTTAGTTTTAGCAGGCTTGCCGACTGATGCTACATGAAGCAACATTGAGTCTACTTTATTCGGTTATAGGACAACTTCTAAACTTTACATTAGTTGATAAACAAAAGGTTTTATATTTGCAGACAGATTTATACAGACTAATGCAGAACTCCACAGGCGAGATCTTGTTTCTTCCCATAATATTTTTTTAAAGCTCATATTTTAATTTATGTTTATTACCGCTCTACTGCAGAGAGCATCAATCATCTTTCAGTGGGTGTTATACTTGCTCTAAGACACACCTCTCCTGCACACCCATGTTTAGGAAGCACAGACTTGCTTTCCATGTTAGTTTAAAAGTACCCAACACAAGTTTGGCTTTGTGTGAATAAAACTTATCTGTTCTCTCCCTCCATTCTCAGATGGTACAAAACTGCTGTAATAAATCATACTGGTGGTTTCTCTCCTCTTTTTGTGCTGCTGCTCTCACACAGAGCCTGTCCCTTCTCCCTACTTCCCTGTGCATGCATTGCTTTCCCTTATGCTGAATTCAATCAGGAGAGACATCCTGATAGCAGGCATGCAGAGCACAGCCTTCTAATCACTGTGCACAGACTAAATTGACTGACAGGAGGGAGGAAAAGGCTACCTTTTAATCTCTGATTTTAGAGAAAACCAGTCCTGTTAGCACAAATTATAGACAAACATTTGATTCTTTATCATTTAAGATTGTTTCATTTGTCATGACAGATACCTTTTAAGCTGCTATAACACAAAACAATGGCCTATATCCTATATGGAATGATTTGCAATGTGACTAACCGTGTGTGTTTTAATTTTTTTAGTGAGTCGCGTTGACAAGATGGCCACTGGAGTGATCAGAAACCTCTCTGAATTCAAACTTCCCTCGACCTTCCAACTCCCCTTTCTACATTCTACTTTACACCATAACATTGACTTCCAGGATACCTCAGAGGAAGAAGATGAATTGCTGGAAGAGGAGGAAATTGAGGAGCTAGCAGAAGACAGTCCAGAATCGTTCACGGAAAGCGATGACCATCATGCTTTGCCTGAAGAACACGATACTGAAATGACATTACAGCTGCTAAAGTTTTCTGAGTTAATTAGCTCTGACATTCAAAGATATTTTGGTCAGAAAACTAAGGAAGAAGATCCAGACTCATGTAATATTTACGAGGATTATTATATGCCTCGTCTCTCAGGACAAGAGATGTACTATCAAGATCTGGTAAAGATGGCACAAAGCAGAAACCATGATAAAGACGACGCCTTCAATCCTCTCACACCTCCGATAGAACTGGACCATAAGATTCTGAGAACCATCAGCAGCAAGGAAGACCCTAAGAAACTGGGGCCTTTGACAGAGCTGTTTGATTTTGGACTCCGTAAATACATGAGGCAGAAGGTGGCAGCAAGCAAAGATTGCAGAGCGCAGAGACTAGATAAGAAATACGCTCACATCGTCCCTATGCATCGGCGGATGTTACCCACATCTTTCTGGAGGGAACCTTCCCCAGCCCCCATGTGCATCCTCAACACAAACACACCAGACTTCAGTGATCTCCTTGAAAACTGGACCTCCGACACCAGTCATGAACTGCAGAATGCCAGCAGAGACATTATGGGGGAATTTAGCAGATAGGTCAGCGGAAGGAGCAGAACTTTTACAAAATGTCAATAAAATGCAGAAATTCTATAGAGCATGGACTCTTTCTAAAGCTTAACTATCCATCTCCTTTATTCACTAATAGAATCACCTTCTACAGTCATCACTCGAACTGTAAGAAAATCCAAAAATTAAGAATTCTGGAGTAGAGCATACAAATAATATATGGACATATTGACTCAAGTCATACACCCTGTATATGTAATTAGATAGTCTGCATAGATCAATAAGGTTCCTTTACGAGCACATTCCTATTAAAAAATGCTCACTGTCCTGTAATTTATGAAACCATATGAAGATTTCATAAAACGAACATTGAATGCTACCAGAATACATTTGTTCGAATAGGTTATTAAAACGTTCATTCATTTAAATTGCATAAATTAAAATCTGCTTAATCCAGAATAAACTATCATATTATCCGATTAATAGATTTATAGCAGTGAACTAGATTTATAAATTATGACTCGGGGCATTCGGCTAGAATGGTGGATTTTACGATCTGTTATATGGTGGTGCAATTTTGAAATTGAAGCAAGTTGAGCTAGTCCTTCAAACATGGAAAATGTATATAAAATCATCACTGTAAAACTATATTTTTTGTTAAATATATGCACCACTAAGTGAACATTGTATTTGAATTTTTTTATTGCAGTTATACTTGTCTGAAATAACAAACCCACAAAAAGGATACAAAATGTGTTGTATGCCAAAGGGGTTTATTAGCTAAACTTTGCATTGCAGTTAATTGAAAATAAAAAATATTTACCGGTAGGTCAAAAAGAGCAGATTTGGAACAAAAAATTATTTAAAATCCCAGTCATATTATACATACACACAAGTAAATTACACAATATTTGGTTTCTTGTCTAGAAATTTGACACTACAGGCTTAAAAATAATTTTAGCTTAATTTAGTGTACAGATCATGCCCCTGCAGTCTCACTTCTCAGTTCTCTGCCATTTAGGAGTTAAATCACATTTGTTTCTGTTTATGTAGCCCTAACCACACAGTCTGCATGGAAAAAAATAATAATTAAATTTTCAATCAGATGTGAACTTATGTTACAAGTTTTTACCATCGGCTCTGTAAATTAAATTTAAATCACACACAGGAGGCTCCTGCAGGGTGTACAATGCTATTATCAAAGCAGGATATAAGAATGTCTAAATTAAACAGTCTGTGCAATAAAGGAAGTTTAAACCTTAAATCTCTCTTTTCAGGAAGTGTTTAGGAAGGCTGTGCATGTTACATGCAAAGGAGATGTAAACTGAACTGTATAAACAATGTGGTGTAACTCCTAAATGGCAGAGAATTGAGCAGTGACACTGCAAGAGCACGATCTAAACACCAAAACTGCTCCATTAAGCTAAAGTTGTTATGGTGCCTGTAATTCATTCTTAAGAATTTCTGTTTTCCACAATCACTGGAAGGAAGTGGGGAAATATATATATATATATATATATTTTTGTGAATAGAAAGGCACATTTGAAAATTAAGGGTAAAATAGCAAAAGCATAGCTACAGATAAGGGGAAACATTTGTCTAACGTTTTTGACAATAGTGTAATTCTGTTTTAAAATTCCCAGATTCGTGTGTACACCTCGGTTAAGATCCTAGGTGTTACTGTTAGCAGTGAGATATCTGAACACATCAATCTCTCAAATAAACGATAGTACAGAATAATAATATACACGCTGTGAAAGACAAATAAGTAGCTCTAAAACACCTAAAAGAGTGGTATCCCTTACACCGCTAAAAACATAATATAATACATACAGAGTTATAGGTGGAGCTGTGGAGTACCTTGAACAATCTGGAAAATAGAATATATGCAAATAGCGTAGTATGTCTATACTATATATAGCATATAAAAATGAGAATAAAAGCACTCACAAGGATGGAGTCATACCGTCATATGACTCTTAAAGTATGTTCTCTTGGACCATTAGGGGGTTGTCCAAACCCTTCTTTTGTTGATTGCTTGTTATTTCTCCTGATGGTCTTCAATAAAGATACTCAGTATGCCAGGGATCTTGGAAAATAATTCTTGTTTATTTGTAGATAAAATAATAAAATGGCAATATACTAAACCAATATATATTGGGTGTAGATATAGTCCAATAAAAAGTCTATCAAAGTTGAAAATGAGTGTCCAAAACGCGTTTCGCCTGATTAACAGGCTTCCTCAGTTGGCTCTAATGTTTCTTCCAAAGTTTTCTTTGTTTGAAAATGCCGCCGGCCGGCTGTGTCTTCTTTTATATGGCACTTCCTGATTCCGTCTGGTGGAACGCAACGTGCGCTCCACCTACGGCACCAACTTCCGGGACGCACCGCAAGTGGAACGCACGTGCGCCCCAACCCCGTGCGCACACCGGAACTTCAGCACCAACTTCCGGGTGGAGCGTCCGTGCGCTCCAACCCGGCGCCAACCTCCGCAATGCACCACAAGTGGAACGCACGTGCGTTCCAACTTCAAGCAGCAAATTCACTTCCGGGTCTCTCTCTACTTCCGGGTCACACTCAGGTGGAACGCACGTGCGCTCCACTCCCAGCCTCACATCAGGTGGCCAAATGCAAACATAAAAAATGGCGTTCTGCCTATATTTACACCAATAGAGTGTGACATATAGAATTATAAGTGCTATGTTTTAAATAAAAATAATATAAAAAGTCAGATAATATGGAAAAGAGTAAAAATCAAATTTAATGAGAAGGAATAAAAACTAATTCTATTAGTTTTAGAAGATTGCTATCACAATCTTAAAGGGGCAGAATGTCATTTCTAGAAAATTTATAAAAATGCACAGTAAAAACTGAATAAAATACATATAATACCCAATAGTAAAAGAAACACAAAAATAGTATATAAGTGTATAAAAAGATGCCTAAAAACTTCCATAAAATAATATGAAACCAAGATAGGCTAAAACTAATGCATAAAGTGGCATAATTCAAAATCATTGTTCAGACCGTTTGGAATCATAGTGTCAAAATTGAATATGAACTTCATCTCTTCCTTTCCTAATTTGTTTACATAATCACCACCTCTCCAATCTTTTTTTACTAATTTTAAAGCACAAAAAAACATTCCTTCTGGATTTTGTTGGTGAACATGTTTAAAATGATTTGAAACACTATGGGTTTCGACTCCATTTTTGATGTTTCTTATATGTTCCGCTATTCTTAAATTCAATTTACGAATTGTACGGCCTACATATAGAAGATTGCAGGGACATTTTAAAATATAGATCACTCCCTTCGAATGGCATGTTAGATGATCTCTAATGGTAAATTTCTTGTTAATAATGGATTCTAGGTCTGTTAGGTGTCTTTTTTTATTCTTTGTATTTTTACATGCTAGACACTGTCCGCATCCATCTCAAATAAACGGTGTAAACACAATCCTATCTTATCAGTTTCCTTTTACCATTATTTAAATCTGAATGCTCACTGAATTCTATAGTGAAAGAATACACACAGTGTTATTACCATGTATATAATCGCCAACATATTTCGCAGTGGTTTACAATTATAAAAAGGGGATAGAGTGACATTATAATCTGAGGATTTGACGTAGGTGTATATATAGCACTGGTATATATAGAGGTGGTAATCACACCAAGGCTTCCAAATTATAAGGCTGTTTTGTTACCACTGAACTAACTAGCGTATTTCAAAGCAAATTGTAAATATATTGCCAGAACAGCCAAACTGGAAGAACTGCGGACTTGGAGAACGAGTCCAGTTTGGCTATTTTAATCTTGCTTTAAAATCCAAACAATTCTCACTGTAGTGAATAACCCTCACAGTCAATGTTTTCAATATAAGGTTAAATAAATCTTTAGTGGCAGATTTCAAGACAGCCACTAGAGGCGTTTCCTCCAGATAGCAGCATTTGACTGGAGGAGCGTGAAGTTTGGCCAAGTATGCCTAGTTCCAATTGGAGTCACTGGAGGAGATCATGGGTGAAGTCAGCTCAGACGCCATTAATCTGTGATGGATTTTTGTGCACTATTTGTGGAAATATTAGAAATTGTTTAAAATGTTTTGTGTTCGTTTGGATAAATAACACTGATAGGATATGTGAATGCTGGAACTTTATGGACTTGGGAACAAGTAACTAATGAACAAAAATATGTACAAAACAAAAACGAAAAAATAAATAAAAAGGAAATCCTATTTGGTAAAACATAGAATGAAAAGAGGGGAATTATCACCTAAATACTGCTCTGAGAAAACCGAGAAAATAGTCACCATAAAACTCCTTTGAGAAAAGTCGTAATGAATATACAAAGTTAAACCTTGCAATAAACCAGGAGCTGATGAACAAAAAGACCCATTGCACCGATATGGGTGGTTTATAGAAAGGAATCCAACCGTCAACCGATATAAAATGAGAGAGAAATTAGGTTTATATTTCAATGTCAGCTCTTCAAACTTTATTGCAAACTCCAAACCAAAGAAAACACAAAGTGAATATTTTATACATCAGACCAAACAATAACATAACACAAATATTCTGTACAGACAAACTAACAGCAGAGTGCAAGGGTTAAATTATAAAATTCCAGGTCAAAAGTAGTAGAGAAGAGATGCGAGATCAATTAAAAGAAATTAGCAGTTATCCAACAGTCATGGATGAGGTGTCCGTAAAATGACAGACATTTATCTAAATGCAGGAAATTTACATAACAGGAATGTGTAGCTGGTATTTGTGTAGATCTATGATTCCCTCCGTGCATGCCCCAGTCCGAATGTGAAACTGGAATAAAGGCTATTGTTTACTGTATCCAAGTAGATTGAAGTGTTCGAGCGATCAAACTATATGCTGTTCCGATAGGGATACTGACAAACCCTGCACACTTGGTGTGATCTGCAAAATGCGCGTGTAACCCACCATAAATGTGTTTAAGTGATTTGTCCATATAAAATGCCTGGCAGTTGTCAAAAGGATCAATTACGAAATTTGGTTCATTGATTAATTAACCTAATTAAAATAATTTTAACCCATATCCGAAAAAAAGTATTTTGCAACAGGCGATTCGGTGAGTTTATGAACTAACCAAATTTCTGAATTTGTTCATTTGTCGTCTAAAAGCCATTTTATTCAGATGAATCACTTACATTTTCATGTACCCACATACACTTTACACTCTCCTTTAATTAAAAAGAAACTCCACCACTGTGTTCAATCAGACATTTTCTACTTAACTGTACCCAATCAAACTACAAGCCTTACTAAATCCACAAATAAAACACTTTAAACGAAGCAATACATTCGTAAAACACAACAGATTTAACTTGTCCATTTATTGCACTATCGTTTCTTTCCCAGACTCCTTCAATGTCCACTGACAGTGTAACCCACACAGTGTAACAATACACAACACGAACTGTACCATCTCTTATAATGTCAGCATACTGACTGCATTTACTTTACCGCCTGTCTACAGTAATTGTAATCTGTAAAGTACCAAGCACACCTGCTAGTGATGCAGAAATGCAATATTCACACACTGTAAGAAGCTTTACATGACCTCTGCACACATTAGTCCACCCAAAAAACTAGACTGGAGCATCCATCCGGTCAATCCCATTACAACTGTAACCGAATAAAGGAGAACTGTCACTTCACTGGAATAGACACAGTTGACAAAAACATTGAAAAATCACCTGCAAAACTTGCTCTTTTTTGTTTTTCCATTTCTTTTTACATTAGATATATATATATATATATATATATATATATATATATATATATTATAGATTTAGCAAATTATGTCATAATCAAGTTCAGACAAGGCACAGCCAGGGCACATATTGCAAATGAAGAGGACAAATAGATACATTGTTTAATTTATCGTCTTTCTCTATGCTGACAGCCAGGTGTAAAGGGCGGAGCTTATAGCGATGATTTACATCGAGCTAAGATGGAGCCGCCCATTTGCAGTATAAAGAGGGGTGATTTCTACATCTCACTTTATTTTAAACTCCACATCAAATAAACATTTGTTATATATAGGGAAAATTAAACAGAATATTGAAAATCCCAGGAAGTGACAGATCCCTTTTAGGGACACATGACAGACAATACATTTATAACAATCTGTTTAAGGTTTCAATTTCAGATTGAACATCTAACTTATTTAACAGCAGTGCATTGTGGGCCAATAGGTTTACGTAAACAGACATTACATGCAGCCATCAGGTCTTTAGCGGTCAAATTGTGATAGTAGAATATAAAACGGGTCATGAAAGTACTTTACAGGTTATGATTAAACAAGACTGTATGATACATAAAATACACAGATTCTTTTATTTCTGGTGTGATATGACTTGAGAAAATGAACCAATATTTTAGGACAATCTAAAAACACTTCTCATAGCAACTTCAGGATTAACGTTATCTAAATTCACTATTTTTGGTTTTATATTGGTCCAAGAATTATTTTATTTTTATCTATTTTTTTAATTCAAATATAGGTTTTCAAAATCTGCAGTGCAGCCTACTGGTGAAATGACTGTACTGCAGTCAGACACCTCAAACCAATTAAAAATAATAGCTCAACACTTGCCAGTAAGCGTTTTGTTCATTTCACATTTCAGCACGTAATCAGCAGCTGAGGTTATTAAAAACAAAAATAACCATGAAAAGTCTAAATTAAAAAAATCCTGTACTTTAAACAACATTATAAATGCGTCTCTCAGCTATGCACATGGGCAGAATAATATTTGCATGTAAACAGGTGTGAAAATACACAGTGAGTACCCTGTTTATAAATGGGATATTTGGTATACAGCATACTGGATCATATTATAAGGCGTCCGTTGGGTCAAGCAGAATATTTTTAACTTGGCTTACAGTTTAAACAGATTTATTTAAGTATTAGTTTAACATGAAAACAACAGTTCACTGCTCTCAAAGTTAACAGTTTATTATTTTACTGCATGTTCTCCTACCACTGCACTGTTAGGAAATGATTACATTAAATCTTGTTTGTCAGCAATGTACCTTACTTAGAACGCAAGCTGTGTAATTGAGAAGTTACAGATTCTAACCGAGGGTAAGGAATTAGATTGCAGAAAGCTTTGTGTATCTGTTAAAACAAGGTGAACATTTTTTTTGTTACACAGCCAGATCGGTGGAGGATTGTTAACACTCACGGACAGTCAGAGAGGTAGCCCAATCGTCTGTATCTGTTTAAACTCTGGGGGTTTTAAAATAACGCAGATACCATCACAGTATCTTAAATACCCCAGGCGTCTGAATGCATAGCGGATACATTTTGGAAATACTAATGATCTAAACTGATTAAAAATGTAGCTTAAGTGAAAAAGAAACCTATCCTGTATTACCTGAGCATCGCCTAACAACAATTAAAGAGAATCCTAGGTACAATGAGAAGTCCATATCCTATCATTTTATTTTGGTTCCAGATTAGATTTCAGTGCAAAATATATTCTGGTATATCATTGAAAGAGAGAGCATTTACTTTATTATTATTATCATTTTAAGACCAAGTTAGGATTCAAACTCTGGATGCCATTTTCTGGACATCACCAAGTTCGAAGAATGCTCGGAGACCGGATTCCATGTAAATAGAGGCCCCAATCCAGAAGTGAGGCTCACTTGCAAAAGAAAATCGATTATGTTCAGCAGCATCATGGCAATTTTCAGAGAGCTGGTTTAGAGAGGAGCAGCATAGGGTCAGTGGAATTGAAAAATATTGTAACCTTTAACCCTTTTGATAACAGAGGTTCAAGGAGCAAACTGCTCTGGCCGCAAGGGTCTAATACATAGCAAAGTAGTCTGGTAGGTCAAGCCGTCAATCCACCCTCGTCCATGGAGGCCGTAAACATGGCAGTGCCATCCCAGAACACAGCTTCATTTCCAAGAAAAGGGGGGAAATGGTCCAAAATCACGTATGTGCCAACGATATTTCTTCCAAACCATGCTTTCCTATTCGGTAGCGAGCAAGATCTTTTCTAGTTACCAGACCAACCACCTGCAGAGGAAGAAAAATGGATACTTTAGAATTATATCCTATATTGGAGCGATACAACCTGCCAACAGACTGTATAATCAATAATAATATAATTAAATGATCAATATCCACCCCTAGCAAGAATTTATTTATTTTATGTAAATAAATGTCAGATCAACACAAATTTTGCTATTAGCAGCCGTTAATACAGGTCTCACTTGACCTTGTAAATCTGTAGTTTACTCAACAAACACTGGCATTACAAAATGATCTGCAGAATGTATTGGACCAGACGATTGCTGGAGACTTTTCACAAGGAGGATAGCTGTGGTGCGTGCATGTATGAAGGGGTTCTGGGTTCTATTAAAAGGTTACTTACTCGATTACGGTTGTCAACCACGACAAGGTGCCTTAGGCCAAGGGCACGGAATAATTTAAATACCCGAGGCAAAGATGCTTCCTACAAGAAAAGGAAATAGTTAATACTTTGTTAATTAACATGTTAAATATATTTCTTCATAATATATTCTCAAAGGATCAGATTAAAAAATGGAATGACTCGATAATTAATAAATGCAGACGTTCTATTGATGAATAAGCAGGAAACTGCATGCTGATGTAACACTGAGGTTATTGCAAAGAGACACAATTTGGCTCCTAAAAGTGGTTAGGTTTGCATAAGGGGGTCTGGTATTTTGTGGAATAGTTGTTTCACCTCTAACCCCGACTGCTTTCTCCAATGCATAACCATTTAACTGTAACCCATGAAGCCCATTCCTACATCCCACCTTAGAATGTACTTATTTCATAAAACTTTGGGCAAAGCGATACCATAATGGACTTACACTATAACTCAAAGTCTCGATGTCTGTCTTGCAACTTCACTTATTCTGCGCCACATCAAACCACTGGTGCCTAAATAGTCTAAACATATCTGAGGCCTATTCAAATCTTTGAATTTCTCCCCCCAAAAAGCCAAACACATTCTGAGCTCATAAATCCCAAACAGCAAATGTTGTATATTTAAATAGCAAATCCCAGTTTTGTATTATAGGTTAAGTGATTATTAGTCACTGTCTAGCAGGACAGTCATAGAGCATGGTGAATGTTTGTGTACCTGGGGCACAGTATAGGGAGTAGGGTTCATGAACTCTGTGAGATCCATGAGACAGTCCCTCTCATCCTGCGACACGTGGATAGACTGGATTGGCGGGAAGCGTGGGTAGGCATCTCGGAAATCCTTTAGCGTCAGGCGCCCTTGGATCATGCTCAGGTTCTCCCTCTCAACGAAAACCTAGGAGTAGCAGATGAAGACACAATGCATTCATTTTCAAAAGTCTTCATCACAGGTCCATATAATAACGGGGTTAGACAGGAGGTCTTCGCCAAGCCTTGAGACTGCTACGCAGGTTGCACCATTTTATACCCACTGATAGGACCAGAAGGGAGCCTGGAATGCTGCATCATATAATCCCATACTCTGCACTAACCCTTCATAAAGTGAGACTGTCACAAGTGATATAAAAAAATACTCTGAAATTATTCCATATGAAAAAGCACAAGGCATTTCATGCAAATGATAGTGTTTCAATGGATACAATGAATCCAAGTCAGTGTACTTTTTTTTTTTACTAGCTTTTGCAAGTTTGTTGGTTGAGACCATTCCCAGTACACAGCTCTCACATAATGAGTAATGTGTATAACAGAAAAAAAAAATAAAAGGAAAAAAAAGGGCGTTCGAGGATTATGTGAAATATCAATCTGCATGAAATGACTCGTCTAAGTGTACACATTGCGGTTTGCAGTATCTGTTTGTAATTTATAACATAAAGATGAAAAAATTATTAAACCGCTTCTTTATGTGAAGATTCAGTGGTACTGAAAGCTCAAACAGGAAGAATTTCATGCCAGCTGTGAGCGCCTGTGTCCTTCCCTAAACCAGCATCCAGCGGGGCCATGTCCGGACAGAATAACCGATGTACCAGCTGAGAACGTTCTACGTGGATTTACCTTGTGTTTGAGCAGAACAATCAGCTGGGACCGTAGGATCAAACCGCATAACCTGGACGGCTGCAAACACAGAAAGATGGGTTCATTGCATTGAGGAATTCGATAAAAATGGAAACAGAAGTTTAACCATATATACTTGGCAGAGTAAGTCACTGTCTATGAGTAACGGCTGTCACACAAAGCACATTAATTGGCATATTCTTTCTTAGACATTACTCTCTGTGTCGGTTGTCCTGATAAGCGTCTAGTTCAGTGGAATCATTGTAATTTCAAGCTGAACGAATGTTTTTTTTCCCCATGATATGGAGGGGATGAACCAATTGAAATATTATGCGATATTGGTAAATGGTCTTCAAACTGGTTCGAGGGTCAGTAACATTGTACTGGGAATAAATTGAAGCCCTTAACCCCTTAAGGACCAAACTTCTGGAATAAAAGGGAATCATGACATGTCACACATGTCATGTGTCCTTAAGGGGTTAAAGGGACACTCCAGGCACCCAGACCACTTCTGCTCATTGGAGTGGTCTGGGTGCCAACTCCCACTACTCTTAACCCTGCAAGAGTAATTATTGCAGTTTTTTTTATAAACTGCAATAATTACATTGCAGGGTTAACTCCACCTCTAGTGGCTGTCTACTAGACAGCCACTAGAGGGCACTTCCTGATTCATGGCAAAGATTTTCTTTGCTAGAGCGTAGCTGGACGTCCTCACGCTGTGTGAGGACCTCCAGTGTCGCTCAATTCCCCATAGGAAAGCATTGAAAACTTTTTCAATGCTTTCTTATGGGGAGACCTAAGGCAATGCCGCGCATGCGCATTAGGTTTCCTCAGCCGGCGGGCGGGATCAGTCTTGCCCACTGGCTGACACAATTACTGGGAGGAGCGACGCTGACCCGAAACCACCGCCGGCGGGGTCTCAGGTAAGTGACCAGAAGGGGTTTTCACCCCTTCAGCTACCTGGGATGGGGGGTGGGAGGGAGAGGGTACCTGCAGTGCCAGGAAAACGGATTGTTTTCCTGGCACTGGAGTTTCCCTTTAAGCCGCTAAAATAGAGTTGGTGGTGGGCATTCTCTACAAGAGGGAGTAAAACTCGTTTTAGACCTGTCCAGTTTCGCCGTTATTTTCAATCACAGGAAAGCCGTTGTGATTGGACGCAGTGTTACTTAGGATGTCCACAATGATTCCCACTTTTTCACGCCTATGCAGACTGGTGACTGGTGTGCTCATCACTTCCCTGAAAAACAGGGAAATAAAATGTATACTCAGATGAAATAGACATTTAAAGAAATTTTTTAAAAATTTTAAAATATTTTACCAGGAAGTATGCATTGAGAATAAAATTTTACAAAAATAATAATAATAATAATAATACACAAATACACACAAAAATAGTAGCAAGGTAGTTCCTCCCTGCCCTGCAGCCACGTAATTTTGCTTTCATTTATTAACCATTATCACAGAGTTACTGTTAATTTTGGATATATGAAAAGTAATAATGAGAAGGAAAGGTAAAGGTCTATGATGGGGGCTTAACAGAGCTCCCACACCTTGTGCCTTAACCAGTGTGGTCACCTAGACTAGGAAGACGGTGGTAACCCAAAGTAATCTATAAATATAGAGGAAAACCCTAAGAGACCACTCTCAGAGAGTGACCACTAGATTAAAATCCCAGTGAAATCTAGAAAATAACAAAAACCTTAATAATACGGAGGTAAACCATAAAGTATAACCTGGTAGACCAAAGGCAACCGTTAGGAGAGGTGCTCGATGCCTAGATAATGCGTACTATGTCAGGTCAGAAAAGTATATGGGATTAGCAAAATAGGATCAATAAGCGATAATGAATGACAGCCTGATCCTACCTAATTGCTGTTACCAGCGAATGGAAGTAAAACCCAACCCGGGCTAAAAATAGCCTAGTGTAGAAAGACATTTAGGATTGAAAGTTTGGATATATGGTTTTGCATCCTGATCACAAATATTAGATATATAATTTACTGTGCATTGGTCAATAATAACATTTAGATCAAGATTTACTCTCTAAAGTATGCACTCTGCATGTTCACAAAATTGCTAAAAATAAAGAAATCAATAAGAGAGAAAAAAAAACCCTGTCAATACTGTTTCCAAAAAAATTACAACTAGCAATAGCTCAAAATAAACACAAGAGGGCAGCATTTCCCAATAAATGGCTTGATATAGTACAAAGAACAATGTCTCCACTAGAGTCTATAAGTATTCTGCACTCCCAGTACAAGAGGGGTGAATCAAGCATTGTACTTACCTGGCAGTTAGGGAGTGAGAGGTAACTGGAGCTTCCCAATGCAGGAACGGGACGCTCTGCAGCTTAATGTGAAGATCATAAAGACCCTGATGGAATACAGAAGACATTTATACATTTACACAGTGCAGTACAAAGAAGACGTTCTGTACAAAAGAAAAGTAATCTCGTTTTTGTAGGGCACACGTCACCTCATGTCTGTCATCGTTAGTAATGTATAACCCAACGATATCACTGAAACGTTGCATAATATGTCGGTGCTAGATAAGTGCGAGTTATGATAAAAATGGCAGCATATTGGAACAGGAGAACCACACAGAACGCACTACACCCAAGTCAACTCAGGGCACCATCGACTGAAGAACAGGAACGAGAAAGGGAATGGGAGACAGTGTTCACCCTCACCAACAGATCATATAGAATCTTATTTTACAAATGTTAATTTGCATATATAAGACTGCAAAAACCCCATAGGGATACAAATGACTAAATATTTTATATACACTACTTTCTTTAGTCTCCTTGCTATTATTCTTCTGGTTTTACCATCAATGCCTTTTGGTTTCTCACACACCCCCATTAAAGGGACACAAATGTTCCATTAAAGAACGTATTTATGAACCTATATATGAATTTAAATTAAGGTACTACAGTTTTAAAGCTTTGGTATTTACTGTATATCCCACGTTTTTCTGATTGTCCAGAAAACAAATTGCCTCAACCAATCATGAAGCGCCTAAAACGTCTAATGGAATACGGAGATTATCCCATAAATCCCTGTACAGCAGGGATCAAAAGCAGGAATTTAGATACGTGAAAGGCAAAATCAATTGTTATTTGTAGCTCATTACTATGTAACTGGTCTTGGTTGACACAGTAGGGGTTACTGCGACCAATTCAATTATCCGGTTTCTACTTCGAATGCTGACAGCTGAACTAAAACTCCCATAAATCTCTGCTGTGCCGTCACCCAGCATGGTGCAAATACTTGTATGGACAAAAGGAATTACAGCTTGCCATGTGTGCATGGAGACTCACAGCGACAGGTCAGTGTGCCCTCTTACCTCAATAAAAATGTCTCCCACTATTTTAGCTGTAATGAGGACCAGCATAATTGGGAAACCATAGGTGACGTTTCCTGTAGCTTCCACCATAATGACCGTGAGACTTAGCGTCATCCTTACAATCCCACCTTAAGATAAAGAAGAGCAGTTAAAATTCATTGAACTAGGGGCAAACTCCTACTGATAAACAGATCACATAGACCACTGTGACAAACCAAGAGGATTCTGGGTAAAAACCAAAGTCTACTTACCAAGCTGCGCTGCTGCTCCCATCAGAGCATATTTACCAGGATCAGCCCATGTCTGGGAAACAAAAAACAGAGAATATTAATTTTAACTCACTAAAATGCAGCTCAGCTATCTGTTCCTCAAATGGTTGCACAGGAGACTTTAGAAGGTATTTAAACCAAATATATGTTTCCTAAGAGAGACTAATGATCATGAAGCAGACCAGCCTTTTATTGCGAGGCCTAATGCTTCCTTCTTTCCAATGTGGCGGAAATAAATTCTGAAATTGCAACAATGGTATTTTGCGCCATGTTGCATCTTCTATGATGTCAAAGATATAACTATGTATTCCCTCCCAATAAACATTCGGGCATTATCAGAGTTACTGCAACAGAAAACAAATAAATGGGAGCCCATGATTTAAAACAATCGTGGCCATTTCAGTGCCAACTTACAACTATATATAGGATGTTTTCATATCTTATCCAGCAGCTTTCAGTGTGCCGGTCTGAATGTGGTCTTATCGGGCAGGGACAGCCGTGTTTGGCTCCTGAGATGTTTGTGAATTATATTTTGGTGCAACTACATGTTTGTGACCTATATTTCCTTGAGGTTTGTAAACTAGATTTCCAAGGTGAGCCATCAGAGATTAAACCAAATAAAACGCAATGCAGGTTCAGTGTGTTTCATACAACTAGATCGGTTTCACACTGGAGGAAAAGTGGATAAAAAGAAACACACATACAGAATTTGGAATATAGGTTAGGAAGATCCCAAACAGTCTGCCCCAGGCGGCTCCAAGCAGAAGGGATGGGATGAAAACTCCCGCCGACACAGTCAGGCCGTACGTCCAGCACGCCAAGAAGAAATACAGTAGAGTGAATGAGCCCAGCGTCTGGGGATTGAAAGTACCTGAGAAGAGAGTCACAAACAGGATCTCAGAAATATGGGACTATTTCGCAACAACTCCCAGGGCACTCAGACAGGAAACATTAGCACTAACCTGGAGGATCGTGGAAGAGGCTGCGTACACTTTTCTCCGGCGTGTTAAAAAAGGCAGATGCCATGGCGCTGTACTGCCCATCAGCGCAGAACAACTAAAGAAAGAAAAAAACATACCTTTAAAAGGCTTGGCCAATTCCCAGGGTGGTTCCAGTGGTACAACAGAGACATAGTAACACTTTTTTTTTTTTTTTGTGCAAAAGTTTGACATACAGGTTTGCTATGCCATGATAATCGGTACAGGCTTTTCAAGAGATTTGATATTGTGGCATTGGAGATAAAAACAGCAAATTTTTTGAGAGTAATAAACTAGCTTAAAGTTATGTCAGAGATTAAGATGGCAATAAGCACAATTTATACATAATGAGTACCCCAACAATAACATCTATGAAAAGGAGAATTTGTAACACGCTGAACTAGGATTATTTCTGTAGCTTAGTAGCCGCTGGGTGCTATTCGTAAGGTTACAGCATATTTTTATTATTAGGTTATGTTAATGTGGCCCTTGTGTGCTGGAAATTAACTAAAAAAGAAAATAGGCAATACTTTCTAACTAAAGGACATTCTAGTCGTTATGTTATACAGGTACGTGCATCAGCTGGCATGTTATGACTGAGTGACTGAACTGGCATATAAACAAACCTTGAGGCTGCGGTAAGCAGGGTGATAAAGTCAGTCGTGAGCTTGAAGGATATGGGCCCTCAGTGTACCTCTCCGAGTGTGTAGTGTCGTGGCAGGTAGCACGGAAGTCTAGATCTAGGTCCAGCATCAGGATCAGTTGATCCCCGTCGACGGTAGTGGTGGTGCCTGAATAGGTAAGTCCAACCCTTTTTGCCCTCTCGGTGCTCCGCCCGGAATGGTGACGCTGTTGGCATCGGGTGGTTCCGCAGTGAGAGAGCTGCGGCCCTCCTTTCCCCCAGCCCAAGCTGAGATGGGAGTCATTCCCTTGTGTTCACGGGTCACCCCACGATGTGCGGTGGGACCGTGGGCCTCCGGGAGAGCCGATCCCTGGGTGACCTTTCTGGTATATGGTGCGGTGGGTAGGGTGCTGTCTTTTGTGGCCTCCCAGCCCAGTGGGGGACTGGGTGAACCCTGCTACCTTCAACTGTCTGGCCCGGGGAGTCGAGCGGTGGGGTTGGCTGTGGGGGGACCGGAGACCGGGTGTAGCGGCCATTTTGTGGGTGCCACGAGGTCTTTGATGTGGGCTGTTATCCTGCTGATTCGCTTGCTGCCTTTGGCGCAGGGCCAGGTTTCTCCAGAACTTGTTAAATATCTCGTCCAGTCTTGCGGTGTAGTCCGTTTGCTCGGTGAGGCAGTTGGTGCTCTCCCAGGGTCGCGTGGGTGAAGCTGTGGCTGCTAAATTTGGTGCCTTCCATGACGGCATGGGTTCAGTCAGCGGTGTTGCTGTGTGTGACCCCAGCGGTCCAAGGGGGGTAGCAGGGCTGTCGTGAGCCTTCTGTGCCGAGGGATCGGCTGCCTCCCCCAGGCACATGGCCCTGTTTAGTGCTAGGCAGCATGCCCGGACGGAGCGGTATCATGGCGTGTACGTAAGGGACGGGTTTCCCCGTGATCCCAGTTTGCTTCTGCTTCGTCCTCCAGTTGGCCCGGGCTGCTTTGGGTGTTGAGTCAGTCGTAAGTAGCTGATTTTAGCACATTATTGTCGGAGCTCTTGGAAAGCTCTTGCAAACTGCCCCGCCCCCCCACATAGTAACACTTTTTATGTAAACATTTGCTTAAAACACTTGTTACCAGAAAGCAGCAGCTTCTTGTATTAAACAAGTGGTGATTAGGTGGGTTTTTTTGGTAAGTGGTAACAATTTTCTTGTCTCTAGGACTTGCCCACTCTTGAGCTATAGAGGACGTACATAGTGCAGATGTCCAGAACCAACTTACCTGCAGGGGGTACTCCACGGCATCCTCACGCAGGGGCTGACAATCTGTGGAGTAGTAGATCATGACGAAGGATACGGTGGCTGTAACAGCTGCCACCAACATGGCTTCAATCACCTGTAAGTAGCGACGGTGAAGATACCTGGAAACAAGGAGATAAATATCAAACACACGTCGCAATAACTGAAATAAACCACAAATTAAACAGAAGCTCATTAATAACTCTGTATAACAACCACGTCATACAAGACTGTTTCCCTTCACCTGACCGTGCACATGTAGTTTAAAATTCCGAGACTTGAAGTTTGCTCCAAAATATTATTTCTGTTTATACCGAGCATTCTAGACCTGATACATCACATCAGTCTCATTAGGACAAAACAAATATAAAAAAAACAAACATGCCTGGTCTATTAGGAGGAGGAGAAAAATTGAGCTGCAAACCTAGAACATGAATTTCTTAATAGCGGTTCGGCAACAGCAAGCACAAGAAAAAAATATATTACATTTTAGAAGGCTAGTTAAAACATTCTGTCTTAGCTTATGTTAAGATTAGAGTAGGATCCAGCAATATTATGGAACTTTGCAGCAGTCGTGAATTCAAACATAGTATGGCTATAAGGTGTGACTTCTTCCCTATATTTGATAGGATAGGTGGATCTTAAGTAACCCCACATCTCAGGCATTTATTCCCCTGTTTTTCAATACAGACTTTGTAGGAAGTGACAGAAAACTTTGCTAGGATAAATAATAAGCACATGCCCAGGCAAAAACACAAAGCTTTTTTTCAGGCGGTAATTAACAAGTTCAGAGCAGAGACAACTTTTAAAATCCCAACAAACATTGTAGGAGAAAATTAATACGACCTGTATATCCCAAAACAAATAAGCTATGTGTAAAGCATAGCTAAACCACTAGATGGCAGCACAGCTATTGCCTGAACATACAGCTCCCAGCGGTAGACTACCTTCGGCACTCCAGATGTTGTGGACTACATCTCCCTTGATGCTTTGCCAGCATTATGGCTATCAGAGCATTCTGGGAGATGTAGTATGCAAAATCTGGATTGCCAAATGTTGCCTGCCTCTGGCTTATGGTATACTGCAGGTACTTCAAATGCTCATAATCCAATGCCTGCGGCCCCTGCATGGACAGGTACTTTGATCTTAATATTAATATTATATGGCAGGCACTGAGCTCATCTCATTCTCCCTCTGCCCCCGCTATACTCGATAAATCATTCTAAAATGTCACATTAACCCCTTAAGGACAAAACCTCTGGAATAAAAGGGAATCATGACATGTCACATGTCCTTAAGGCGTTAAAAGTCCAGTAATCTGACTTCCAGGGAATAGAAATTAAAGTTTGTCTGGCCCATAAAGCCCACAGCTCTCCAGCAGAGAACGACTGAATATTGAATTCTGCACGAAGTACTCAATGTCAAGATTCAGCTGTATACCAGATGTGTCCCGGGAGATGCAGGCTGGGGAACTAATCCCCCCGAATGATGGAAATATGAGTAATGTTCTCTTTAGAAATCTGAACTGAAAAACAGTTTTACTTTGCAAGCCCCATTCCAGAAAATTAACACCAGTAACCCTAAACCACCCTGGATGGAAAGGGACATCTCAGTCACATACAGATTAAAAACAAATATAGATCTGAATGACAGCTGGTAAAAATAAATAAAAATAGATATTAACATTTGATAAAAAGAAACAAAAGTTAGTGTTTTGACAATTTCACTACTGCAATTTATTTTAAAATCATCGTCAATAAGTGCAGTTATGGAAAAATGTCACAGCTGGACTATTTCAGCCTAAATTTTGCAATTTGGCTTTCAATACGCTACAATTTGGTGTCAGTAATTTAAACTCGGACTGTGCCAATGACATTCTTAATCTCAAACAAGGTAAATCTACAAAAACCATGATATCTTTAAGACTAAATTTTATAGGTTGTTTTATCAAATTATTGCAATTCATTGCCAACTCATTAAATTCCTGGTTATGGAAGATAGATATTTTTTTCTCCCTCAAATTCCCGTATATGGCTTGCATTTTGTACGTAATTTGTTGACTCGATAAATCAATTAACTTTCATATCACCCCCTACTTTTACTTTTTGTGTCACTATACCCCACTCCAACTAGAATGTAAGCTCATTGAGCAGGGCCCTCCACTTCTAGGTTCCTGTACGTCCACTTGTCTTGTTACAATTACATGTCTGTTAGTCCACCAATTGTACAGCGCTACGGAATCTGATGGTGCTATATAAATAATAATAATAATAATAATAATAATATCACTGAATGAAGTGAAGCTGGTGACTGGAAAACACAGAATTTAAAAACTATAATCCCAGCAGATGTTTCATTGGGACGATATAAATGCAGGGTCTAGCATGTTCATCTGGCACGCACCCGTTCTTCCAATTGCATCTTTGTAGCTAGTTCTGGAAATGAACAGGCTGGCACAGAATTATGGGACTCAATTCAGTAACCAGGAGGACTGACAGCGGAGGCAGGTCCATAGAAGCAGAGCGACCCACAGTTTGGTGCATAAAAAGTTTTACAACCCCGTGAGCTGTCTGATAGCAATAATAATTTAGAGTAGTGGGGATAGAATATTTCCCAGTTTGCCACAAGAAAAATGCTGCCCGTAGCAGCAAGTTTTTATTTATGTCACTATATAACAGTAAACTTGCGAAAATTGCAAATCCTGCATGGCAACTAGCATTCCATGGGATATTAAAGGGACACTATAGTCACGCATAGTGAGTCTAATCTGATAGAAACTGCAATGCTTACATTGAAGTCCATCTCCAGTGACGGACATACTGACAGCCACTGGAGGTGCTTCCACAGCAATGACCAAGTAAAATGTCATGTGGCGCAGAAGCCCATAGGATGAATTTATTCAATGGGGATGTTTAAATGTGCGCAGCGTTCAACGAGCATGTGCAGGGATCCTCAAAATAAATCTTTATTTTCCTTGTATTCCTAAAGTAACAGTGTTTCTCTATTTAAAGCATGGTCTCTCCAAAGTTCCAGCCAATCATTCACTACAATTTCACTGTTTAATGATTCAATCTCTATATGTAACAGTTATCAATGGGGTCGGAATTGTACAGTGGAAAATAAAGTGAAAATGTCAACATTATCCCACGGATCTTATTCAAAAGTCTGAGAATTTGCCTGCAGAGCCCAAATACTTCTTCTGGTTTTATGCAAGGAAGTCATGAATGACCAGATCTACTTACTAATGAAAAAAGAAGCAGTTTCCTTGTTTCCTTTAATTTAATGAGCAAACCAGAGTTCGTGGAGGGAGGAGGGAACACACGCAAATATCATTTAATGTGAAAATTCTGCTCTTACAGATATGACATATTTATAGGACATAGCAGGATAGAGAGAGAAAGTTACCTGATCCGGAAAACAGTCAGACAGTTGTTCAGAGCATTGAATAAAGCTCCAATCATCCCACCTACATCCGGGAACAAAAACCACAATAAATGGCATGTCTACTGTGCAGGATGTCCACATCCAATACGCAGGTCAGAAAGAATGCACTGTGTTTACCATGCCTTAAAGGAAAACATTCGGCTATAAAGAATGTGTCCCTTTAATGCAGAATTGTTGGATAACATTCTGCCAAGTTCTACAACATCAGAATTTAAAGTTGCTCTAGGTAGAGTAGGAAGAAGGAAAGCAGTGAAGGCAGAACGGGGCCACGCAGATTGCTGCACAATGGCAGACTGTTTGTCAGGACCGCAGCTTTAAAAATGATTCAAATAGCTACAACATAGTGATTAGCACAATAGTGATATTTTACAGCTTGAAAATCTCTAGTGTTACCGTAAAATAACTACAAGTCCCATAAGTATGAGGTTCCCCCTTTATCAAACCACGTAAGGAAATGCAGATTAAAAAAAAAAAAAACACACAATAAATCGAAATCTCTTACCCATTGCTCCCATTACTATAAAAATGGGGAGTTCAAAGTACTTGTATGTATTTTCCTGTAAAAACATAGATAAGGATTTAAGTACATATTTATAGTTAGTGGGCAAAAAATTAACTTTTATTTTTAGATAATGAGGCACAATTAAAGAGTCTTATTTGCATACAAAACATTATCTCCCGTTCTCTCTAAGAAGTACTGATTAATCATTCCATATCGGGGGAACATTTGCTTCCCATGTACGCAGAGCACCAACACAATCTGTGGTGTTTTCATGTATAAACGCTATAAACAAATCAATAGAGACAGAGAGATCGATCAAACATTCAGTGCAGTCTGCAAGTTTTAAAAAGCCAGTACAATTCACGGCTTAAAATACAAGATTGACGACTGAGCAGAACACACAACTACTGTTCCTCTAAACGGATGACATTTCTTTTAGTGTGGTTTAAAGCTATTTTATGAATTGAAATACCATGAAAACCATATAATGTTATCACAAGACAGCATGTCATTGAATGGAAGGGGAGATGCTGATTCAGAAAATCCCACAGTCGTCCATATCAAAGTTTTTATTCCATTTACCATGACTTCGGGCGGTTATGTTTCACCACTGAAAAGGAGTCACGCTAAACGCAGAAATTAGTCTTGTGCTGCTGTCTGTCTTAAAGAGACAGCTCATTGAAGTGGTCTATGTGCAATGTTCCTGTCCCCCTTAGTCCTGCAGTGTAACTGAGAAACTGCAATAATTACATTACATGGTTAAGATTGCCTCTAATGGCAGTCAGAGGTTTGTATTTCTTACACTACAGTATCCCTTTATAACTGACTACCTGCAGGTTTTACTAATTCAATTAGGAACGGCAAATTTCATGTCAAAATCACTGAGCTAGATAAATGGTTTAAAGGATAATTACTCCAGCTCAGCTACACAGGTCTAACACTACAACGTCCATATCGATTCTTCACCATTCGCAGTTTAGTGAACAAGCCTTACATACACTGCATGCATCGTACTCATTACAATCTAGACAGTGTGAAGCACTCTCTTCTATGGGCAGTAATATTCTGTAATGTAAATACAAGGCTGATATTACACAATATCCTGTGCTTCCTTATCACCCTCTACACATTGTGCACTTAAAGCATTATTTGGGGAATTGTGCAACTGAGGCGGCAAGGCATTCTCTCTCCATGCAAACTTTCCATATGTTAGACTAAAGCCTGTTCTATTAAAGGGACACTCCAGGCTCCCACACACATTAGGTGCACTGTGTAGGTTGGGTTACAGTTATCCTGGGTGGTTTTATTTTATTAAAGGGACACTCCAGGCTCCCACACGTTAGATGCACTGTGAAGGTTAGGTTAGGTTACAGTTATACTGGGTGGGTTTATATTATTAAAGGGACACTCCAGGCTCCCACACACACGTTAGATGCACTGTGTAGGTAAGATTACAATTAGTTACACTACAAGCTCTCACTCCCACACGTTCGGTTTGCTGTCACAGTAGAAGTAAATCGCACCTAGCAGGAATCCCAGCTGCACTAATAACAGAGATTTGTGGGATAAGGGGATAACTGCTAAAGGACAACACAGGGCTTTATCTTGGGAAACTGAAGTGCTTCATGGCGTCAGCCTTCAATGAAGAAGCTGTAAATACAGGATTTGAATCAAATGAGAGATTTACCTCATTTTTAAGTTTTTCTTTGTGCAAGAGAAGGGAGAATTATAATCTTGGACTCACACTGAATTTAAAAACACAAATATATATGTTAAAGGTCAATGTGGAGTTGCCCTTGTGAATGTTACAACCATTACAGGATATCACAAATACATTGCTCTCACTGCAGCTGGCTCAGAAATAAAATCACAAATGTGTCCTAGACATCAAGACTACACAATGAATAAAATCTGGTTTCACAAGTAAGACGGGGATTAGAAACTATTAATAAGGATTTGAGCTGCGCTTGCAGGACTAATTTTGATAAAACGTCCCAATTTAGCTCAAAGAAAAAGTCTGAATCACTGCTCTAAAATAGAACTCATGCAGCTAATGGGATAAAGAACGATAAATATATATAGCCTCCCATTAGTTACAGAGTTTGCCAGTCCAAAGCCTGTGTGACCACAATACAGGATGCGATACAAAACTGGGCTCGCCATTAAACCGGATCAGGTTATTTTTGCTATTATAGAAAGCTGTCGAGTTTTATCAAAGAGAAAATAGCAACAAATGGGTCTTGAGAAAAGAGCTTAACAGTTAATATAATACCGATACACAGCATTAAGAATGTGAGACATTAGGACAGATATGCGGAGAATCCAGTCTACGGACATAATAGAACGTTTCCCAAAGCTTCATCTGGAATGGACACAGGCTGACTGGACTTATTTTTAATTTACTAAACTAAAAAACACAATAGTGGGGAGGGTGTAAGAATTACTAAATAAAGCAGGTTTTAGTAGTTGACATGCTACAATCGGGTTTTATATATCACAAACACATTTATCAGACACTAGGGAAAGGAAAAGATTCTCAGATTTGGATAGCGATGTCAATAAATCTGAGCTCTCTAAGTAAATCTTCTCCGTCTCGCACAGAAGATCGCTGTCTAATTCTCAACTGTCCTATCCAATCCACGGGAAGACCAGGCACTCAAAAAAGCAAGAAATAAGGACTTATTGTGCATTAGAGCATGAATCATCTTTTGGGTTCAAAAAATCATTAACATGCTTATTAAAAAGCAGTCCATTACTCACATCAGTGTCAAATCTCCCAAAGTTAATCAGACCTGGGTTGGAGAGGTCCCCCGGTTTCTGGTTGTAAAAACTCAGCACGAAATTCAGTGTGAAGGTTGAGATCATGGACGCAAAGAACTTACAGGTAGAACAAAAATATATACAATCAGAAAACAGATACAAGCACAGGAAGGCACAGCAATTATGTATCTACTAATATAAGCAATGCCCTGTTGCAGGAGGTTAAAACCCCCTGCTGTTATAATCTGTACAAAAATGACAATGATTAAAAAGAAGCATTTAATCTTTAACATTTAAAACATACTTCCACCTGTGTGAAGAATACACAATGAGGCTGTCAGAGAATTCTAATGGTTCCTACAACTGGCATATCTTATTAATTAGTTCCCAGACTACGGCAGAGTTGCCAAGTTTGCCAGGAGACAAAAACGGAAGAGGAAAGAGCTGGGATTGGCATCTCTGTCACAAACAGCTTGCTTGCCTGTAAAGGGTGCATATTGTGGTAGCACTTTTCTGCAGGTAATAGAGATACTGTCACGTAATGAGTACAAATTTCAGATCATGAGTCACGCGATGCCATTTGACTTGACAAGTGCGCAAAAGCCAGTGGGTACTGTAGCAGCTCTACAATCCGCAGTCAAATGGAGCTTCCTCTGATTGTGGCATGAGACTAATAGAATTGATTTACAGCATTATAAATATTATTTATATAGCGCCAGCAAATTCCGTAGCGCTGTACAATGGGATTAAATGTAAAACATATAATAGAGGAATGGGTCGCCAAGCTAGCACTGTGGACCAAACACAGGTCATGGATAATATAATAGTTAACGTTAAATCCTAACCCTGAGTGAAGATACACTGAAAGAGTTGCATTAATTATTCAACCCCGTGACCAGCTACTTGCGGTATGTGTCAGAGGCGGAGGAAAATGGCGTAATAGAGAGTTCTTTGTTAATCCCTTGAAACATGACTGGGTTCAGCAACTGAGAAAATCCTGGAGCCATAAACATGAAGTACCCACGTGGCAGCTCCCTAGAGGGGGTATTTAAACCAACAATGGGACAGCAGTGTGTGCAACAGGCAGGGCAATCTGAGGTAAACCTCGTTAACTTTAAAGTGGATACACATCAGGTCAGCCTTGTGAACCGCCAGATGGGTTATCCCCCAGCACAGAACACAGAGGCAGTGCTGGAATTCGTTGGAAAAGGAAAGAAATCCAATCAGGTCCATAAATATTGGGACATCGACACAATTCTAATCTTTTTGGCTCTATACACCAACACAATGGGTTTGAAATGAAACAAACAAAATGTGCTTTAACTGCAGACTTTCAGCTTTAATTTGAGGGTATTTACATCCAAATCAGGTGAATGGTGTAGGAACTACAACAGTTTGTATATGTGCCTCCCACTTTTTAGGGGACCAAAAGTAATGGGACAGATTAACAGTCATAAGTCAAACTTTCACTTTTTAATACATGGTTGCAAATCCTTTGCAGTCAATTACAGCCTGAAGTCTGGAACCCATTGACATCACCAGACGCTGGGTTTCATCCTTGGTGATGCTCTGCCAGGCCTCTACTGCAACGGTCTTCAGTTCCTGCTTGTTCTTGGGGCATTTTCCCTTCATCAAATGAAATGCATGCTCAATCGGATTCAGGTCAGGTGATTGACTTGGCCATTGCATAACATTCCACTTCTTTCCCTTAAAAGAACACTATAGTCACCTAAATTACTTTAGCTAAATAAAGCCGTTTTAGTGTATAGATTATTCCCCTGCAATTTCACTGCTCAATTCACTGTCATTTAGGAGTTCAATCACTTTGTTTCTGTTTATGCAGCCCTAGCCACACCTCCCCTGGCTATGATTGACAGAACCTGCATATAAAAAAAAACAAAAAAAAAAAAAACTGGTTTCACTTTCAAACAGATGTAATTTACCTTAAAGGGACACCGTAGGCACTGTATCTGCTTCATCTCATTAAACTGGTTATAGTGTCTGGAGTCCCCTGTTGAATCATTTCTTTCAGCATTAAACAGTTTTTAATGTTGTAATGTTTTAATGCTAAACAAGAAACCCCCGGCAGTCCATCCCCTCTGTGCTGCTTTGGCTAATAAGGAAGTATTACCCTGAGCAGCAATGGGCAGCTGTGATTGGCTGAGAGTGTCAGCTGACAGCTTTTAGCCTGTCAGAGCTCCAACTGACGGTATGAATGGGTATGACAACAAGGAAGTGTGTACTCTCTGCCTTAGCTACACATACAGAAGGGGCTGGACTGTGGGTGGCCAGGGACTCTTATTTTGTGGAATACTGCACAAACATGGTGCAACACTAAATGGAGGGACAGTGCCAGGTCACTCCAGGCGCTATAACCAATTCAAAGAGATGAAATGGTTATAGTGACTACAGTGTCCCTTTAAATAATTGTATCTCAATCTCTAAAGTGAACTTTAATCACATACAGGAGGCTCTTGCAGGGTCTAGCAAGCTATTAACATTGCAGGGGATAAGAAAATCTTAATTAAACAGAACTTGCAATAGAGAAAGCTAAAATAGGGCTCTCTTTACAGGAAGTGTTTATGGAAAGCTGTGCAAGTCACATGCAGGGAGGTTCATAAACAAAGGGATTTAACTCCTAAATGGCAGAGGATTGAGCAGTGAGGCTGCAGGGGCATGTTCTATACACCAAAACTGCTTCATTAAGCTAAAGTTGTTCAGGTGACTATAGTGTCCCTTTAAAAAACTCTTTGGTTGCTTTTGCAGTATGCTTCGGGTCATTGTCCATCTGCACTGTGAAGCGCTGTCCAATGAGTTCTGAAGCATTTGGCTGAATATGAGCAGATAATATTGCCCGAAACACTTCAGAATTCATCCTGCTCCTTTTGTCAGCAGTCACATCATCAATAAATACAAGAAAACCAGTTCCATTGGCAGCCATACATGCCCACGCCATGACACTACCACCACCATACTTCACTGATGAGGTGATATGCTTTGGATCATGAGCAGTTCCTTTCCTTCTCCATACTATTCTCTTCCCATCACTCTGGTACAAGTTGATCTTGGTCTCATCTGTCCATAGGATGTTGCTCCAGAACTGTGAAGGCGTTTTAAGATGTTGTTTGGCAAACTCTAGTCTGGCCTTCCTGTTTTTGAGGCTCACCAATGGTTTACATCTTGTGGTGAACCCTCTGTATCCACTCTGGTGAAGTCTTCTCTTGATTGTTGACTTTGACACACATACACCTACCTCCTGGAGAGTGTTCTTGATCTGGCCAACTGTTGTGAAGGGTGTTTTCTTCACCAGGGAAAGAATTCTTTGGTCATCCACCACAGTTGTTTTCCGTGGTCTTCCGGGTCTTTTGGTGTTGCTGAGCTCACCGGTGCGTTCTTTCTTTTTAAGGATGTTCCAAACAGTTGATTTGGCCACACCTAATGTTTTTGCTCTCTCTCTGATGGGTTTGTTTTGTTTTTTCAGCCTAATGATGGCTTGCTTCACTGATAGTGACAGCTCTTTGGATCTCATATTGAGAGTTGACAGCAACAGATTCCAAATGCAAATAGCACACTTGAAATGAACTCTGGACTTTTTATCTGCTCCTTGTAAATGGGATAATGAGGGAATAACACACACCTGGCCATGGAACAGCTGAGCAGCCAACTGTCCCATTACTTTTGGTCCCTTGAAAAGTGAGAGGCACATATACAAACTGTTGTAATTCCTACACCGTTCACCTGATTTGGATGTAAATACCCTCAAATTAAAGCTGAAAGTCTGCAGTTAAAGCACATCTTGTTCATTTCATTTCAAATCCATTGTGGTGGTGTATAGAGCCAAAAAGATTTGAATTGTGTCGATATCCCAATATTTATGGACCTGAGTGTGTGTGTATATGTATATGTATATGTATCTTTGTTTGTACAGGAAAAAAATAATTAAAATGCCAAGAGCCTTCGAGCTTTCAGGGTATCAGTAAAAGAGCCAAAGTGATGGAAAGGTTTCGTGGTTTTGCCTACTTATGGGAGTTGCATTGGGGAGATCACCTAGTTTTGTTGTTCCCACGACGCTCAGACTCCGTGACTAGGATTATACTCAGATTGGCTTATTACATCTTCCAATCATATTAATCCTTCCAGCGCACATTTTTTATTTGTGCTTGTCCCTTTAACTCGTAGTACCGGCTTTCTCTAAAAGGCAGAGTAACTTGGCCCTTTCCAGTACCTTTAATATTATGTTCACTTAACCCTTTATTTAAAAACATATATTTGTGAGCTGTGTAAAATACATTGTATTCTTAGCTTCCTGTCAATCATGGTTAGAAGCCTGGCAGTCAGTATTGAGAACACATGTTGTCAATAGGTGTCTATTTTGTCTCTTATTTGCAATGTTTGCCCTGGCTGTGCCTTGTCTGGATTGCGAAAGAATTTACTAAATCTGTAATAAAATTAAATGAAGACTGAGCAACTCTTTATTTTCAATGTTTTTGACGTAAATTTCACAGAAGTGGCCTTTTCTATTTAAAAAGCCTAAAATCGTTTATCGCACACTAACATAGCGTGATATACCCATGCAGTTTAATAAAACTGGTTAATTTCCAGAATCCCATGCTTTATCTGGATATACAGCAGCTAAACACACTTACTATTCTCCATGTCAGAAGCTGATTCCAAAAAGAAGCCCCTTCCTCCAAACTGAAAAGAACGCCACCTACAAACAGCAAAAATCAGAGAAGGGCATTCAAAAGAAAAGAGGAGAATACAAGAAACGGTCATGTCAAACCAGGATCGACTGAAATTAAATCCCATAAGCAAAAGCCCAATGTCAGCCTCACTATAAAATTAAGGACAACAGCAATATGAAACTATAGCAGATAACATTTTAATGCAGTCACTGGGCCGGGGCATGTGGGGAGATTTCACATACACTTTGCAACGATCAGGAGAACACAAATTTATTCAAATGTTTTTACTAACCAACTGGAGCCCCGAACGCTGCAGACACACCAGCTGCAGCTCCCGCCGACACAAAATCTCTTTTTTCTGTGTCTCTGCGAAAGTATTCAAAGATCTGTACAGAAAAATAGAAGAGGAAGTGAAATGGAGATGAACTTTATTCTGAGAATTAAAAAAGGTATGTTTCTAAGAAAGCTGTCTGCATTGTTCCTCATACAAGGACACTGTAAGGAGGGAGATGTAGAGAAGTGCTGATATGTGTATCCTCTCTGAACTCCCAGTTTCGGTAACGGAGCTTGGCATGACCAACAGGGCATCACAAGCTTTGCCAGCGTGCGGCCAAGGATGACCTGGACTTGGTGTTGGAGCGTGGCATGACTCTGAGAAGTACAGTGTCTCTTAATGTGCCCTGCAGGACTTTACTCCGGAGTTCAATAATTGTGTCCTGAAGAGAGCAGCTGGACTTGGCAGAACCCAGCGAATCTGTAGAAGTTCAGTTGTACTTTAAAATGAACCTCAATGGGACCATGCAGAGTTCAATAAATTAACAGAGCGCCCTGCAGGTTTGGCAGGCGTTCACAATGGAACATTACAGAACTCAGCAGGTACGCCAGCATGCCCTGCACAGTTCAGCCAGCGTGCCCTTGACAGGAGATTTAAGTTCCATCATCTGTTACAGTAATATTAATGGTTCCTAATTGTATTACTTAATTAGGACCTATGTGGTGTGCAATATTTTAGGTGGAGGAGTTTTTGGAAGCAAATAACCCCAAAATATATATTTATATCATTTAAAATGATTTTTGAGATATAAATATATATATATATATATATATATATACACACACACACACACACACACACAGTAAACATTCCTTATATCACACAGACACTAGCACTAGACACTGAAGGTGGGTAATGCTTCTAGGGATTGGCATATCTCAGCAATCGTTGCACATGTGCCATGTATGTTTGCAAGCAATGTCTGATTGGACAAGTCATCTGGCTGCAGTGACAAAACTGTTCTGTGCTGGAACAGGCAAGTTTTATAGATTTAGATTTGATTTTTTTTAAACTAGCTCTGGTGAGTGTGCCACGGACCCTCTAGATTGGCAGTGTCAATGAACATTTAGTCCTGTCTAGCAGCATTAGACCTGAAATTTGAAGGCAGATATGCATGTATATTTATTAACGTTTTTATTAGAGTGTTTTTAAAGAGCAAATGTAATTGCAATTCTACTCACAGTATGTCCATTTTTAATACACTTATGCACAAAAAGCTTCACAGCATTGCAACTCACATCTGTAGTTAAACAGAAGTATTTATTTCTTTGTTCTGCAAACCATGCAGATTTTCTAACAGAGGGGATTAAAGGTCAAGCAATTAACCCCACATGTGCCACAGTGAAGATCAGCACTATGAAAGATGTGTAGTGCAGCTGTAAACCCAGACCAAAGTCTATAGTCTGAGTGAATTTGTGTGTATTGGACTGACCTTAAAGTCTCTCTTCAGAGAGGTCGACCTTCCTTGAGAAATACCAGCTGCAACAACAGCCCCAGAGTGAATCATTGGACCTTCCTGAATTAAGGGAAAGCAGAAGTATTCAGACAATCAACATACAGAACAAAACCACTTAAGCAGAGTTTAAAGTAGAACAATATTGCTGGGGGTGAACGATCACTGAGGGAGAGTCTTAATGAGCCCCCCCACCCACTGTGGGTGAAAGGTCACTGAAAGGATTTTGTAATGGGGGTAAATAAAGGAGAATGTAAACACGACATAGCTCACCTTTCCAACTGCAAGTCCTCCAGCTACAGAGAATATGACTCCACAAACCTTTACCACCAATGTCTGGATAGGGGACGAAAGGAGAAACATTTAATGGAGATGTAAAGGGGTGCATACCACTAAAAGACCCAGTGAGAGTGGGCCAATTATCAATATAAACTAAATTGTAAGCTCACTTGCCAAGCTCTCATGAGTCTCCCATTTTTAACTAAATGGATTTACATATTCTAAAACAACCACAGCTTTTCTTTGTCTGTGATCCTGTGAACACAGGTAAAATGTCATTATCTGTACCTTGAGTCTGACAACATGGGGAATCTTGACGCCGTTCAGAAAACATTTAATCTGGGGGATGCCGCTGCCAGCAGCTACCGGCTGCAAAACAAAACAGACAGGTAAGCAATAGAAAATACAGGTTCCTTCAATTATTCACTAAACTTTGAGGGGCTGAAATTTGCTACAAAGTCATAAAATCTATGACAAAAAATAAATAAAATCTTGAAAATAGTAGCATTAGATATTATTGCCATCTTCCCATTTTGGCTCATATTTCCCATTTTAATTGGCAACTCACTGGAATTCATGATTTAATGAATGCATCCAACTGTGACCATAACAACACTGAGTTTGTTTCTGGGGAAACGAGTTGGCCAAGACTTGTGCGGGTCTAATCTCCGTCTAGGCAAAATATCTGCCATGCAACTGGAGTAACTCAGTCGTACAAATTGACCCAACAGATTCCAGAATAAAGACTGCTTAAATGCAGGACAGGAGCATCACTAGGAGAGGCATTAGATCCCGAGGGTGCAAAGAGGCTACTGCTTTAATTACAGCTCAGACGGCTTTAACTTCACAAATAAACATTGTGGTTTCATGTCTGTTTCTTAGGAGTTACACAACATGCAAACACTCGTCAAGCACAAATCGTAATATTAACCTGTGCCTTCTGTTACTTTAATAAAGAGATCAATAGCTTCCCAAATTTCAGTGTCCTGAGCAACTATTTTAACCCTTCCCCCTTTTGAAAATTTTCAGCTGGAATTGAGATTTTTACCATTTGATTTAAGCTAAATGCCTAATATGAAGGTAGAAAGTATTTTTTTTATTGTGGCAGGAAATCTTTTAACACTTTAACAATATATACATGACAAAGGTGCTAATTTTAGAATGAAACCATTCCCTTTCACCGATACACACATCCCAAGAAGACACTCACTTCTATGAAGGCGACTATGAGAGAGCCCACCATGACAAAGGCAGCGTTTAGCGTCGCCCAGAGGAGCAGCGAGAACGATAACCCTCCTTTCTCTGTGAATTTGTCGATATCTTAACACACTTGTTAAGAAAATGACGAGGAAGATGACAAAATTAAAACCATGACACAATACTGGCTAATTGGGGTTCACATGACAGAGAATGACAGGACCTGAACAAATAGTATACAGTAATCGTGGGTTTTACTCTTCTGTGGGGCCCCTCCTCTCAATGGGTTAAATGAACTATAATGGCCACTTGATGTGTGGCAAAGTTTCGTGGGAGTTGTAGTTTGCCAACAGCTGAAGTTATCTGAATATCCACACCAGATGACAATACAAGCTATAACTTCTGTTTTATGTTTTTTACTATGTAGTACTGAAAATAGATTGGTTTTCCCTACAATCAAACATTTAACAAACTATCTTCACTTGGGCTAAACAGGTACTTTTTATCTGAAAAACAAACATTTATAATCAGCCATTTGCTGCTGATATTGGGTCTTTCAGCATAGCTGGGAATGGGGGGTGGAAGGACAGCTTGGAGCGCGAGTACTGTTCTGCACGGACCACTGTTGGTAAGAGGATACTGTCTTTGATCACTTTGTATTTCACACCAGCCAATTGTTCAACCATGATGTCTATAAAGCAGGCAATGAGTCCGGTTAAGATACCGATCATGCCGCATATCACCCATCGCGTGATCTCCACCGTCCGGAATGCCTGCAACACAAAAATATATATATATATATTTTTTTAAATTACAAAATAAAGTTAAAAGGATTATGATGAGCGGGACTCTAATCTACAGATTGATACAGCACACAGAGTAAGCCTTGTTTATCACATTCACACAAATTAAGATAATACAGTTACACTACAAATTAAGTCCATTGAGTAGTGCAGCATATAGAAAGGGGCATCCTGTGAGGACTGCAGTGATTTATCTTAAAGAGACATGCAACACTTAAAATGTATCCATTTAAACAAGCAAACTTTTATAAACGGATGAGCCAATTTCCATTATCTTACTGGCAGCAAAGCATGATGGGTGAGACTTTTTTTTTTCTCTCTTAACAGCTATTTTAAATCATTTGGACAAAACTGAAGAAGCTGCAGCAAAAGATTGTGCACCATAACCACTCCTTTACGCAGTAGTGGTTACAGTGCTTTGTGTGCCTATCTAAGTTCTGGCTAGTGTCAATCCCAACCTCCTACAAAAGAAAAGGCAGAGGTACCTACTGGCCACTGACTCAGGTATACATACAAAAATCACATCAACTCTGTGCTAATTAGTCAAAAAACTTTTCATTAATATCTTCAGGAGATGGAATGAAAAGGCCAGAACAGGCCATCAACATCTAGAATTTCTGACCAGCAATAATGTTTTAAAGATTTCAATACTGCAAATAAATAAATAATATATTAACAAAACTAATATCGGTAAAGAAACTGTGAGTACCAACCCAACAACTATACAGCTAAAGAATTAGTGGCTTCCCACCAGATTAGGTTTTTGGGAAGTAAGGGATACATATAAAAAAAAATTGGATATGTGGTAAAAGGACAACTTACCGTATGATTTATTCTACGTTCTTCTTCCAGAAACAACAGGTTTTCACTATTGTCGTAATCCAAACTCTGCAGAAGTGGCAGACCAGAATAGGATTATTACTTTACACACTTTATATGAGCCAGTCAGACAACTTTATAAACATAACTATTACAGAAACTCCAACATCTAAAAACGTTTTATCTGATGTGCTTAAAACGCATTCCCTGCCAGCCTTGGCAGAATGTTCTAAATACAGGAAAAGTAGTCCAGTTAGTGATGGAGCACTGGGGTCCAAGGTTTAAAACTGTCCCAAAATGGTTTGACGCTTAACAGTGATGTAGAGCCAGTGGACTTCTAGCACCATCACCATTAAAATGTGCTGTGGTGGTTATGGGGTCTTTCAATACATATATTTAAAAACACATGCATAACTGTTTAAATGCATTTTTAATTTTAAAAAAAAGCAAATTTTTCATACCTCATACTTGAGGGATAATAGATTCTCTGTGTGTGTTACATCTTTGTCCAGCTTAGAAGTAAGTTCAGCTTCCTGCAGTGAAGAGAAAAACTGGTTATCAAAAGGGTAGAAAGACAGTGGATGCCCTCTAAGCAGGTTAGACTGAACAGAATGTAAGCCACCCAAGTTGGTTAGACTGAGAACGCAATGGATGCCACCCAAGTTGGTTAGACTGAGAACGCAATGAATGCCACCCAAGCTGGTTAGACTGAGAACGCAATGGATGCCACCCAAGGTGGTTAGACTGAAAACACAATGGGCGCCATCTAAGCGGGTTAGACTGAGAACACAATGGGCGCCATCTAAGCGGGTTAGACTGAGAACACAATGGATGCCATCTAAGCGGGTTAGACTGAGAACACAAGGGATGCCATCTAAGCGGGTTAGACTGAGAACACAATAGATGCCAACTAATTTGGTAAGACTGAGAACACAATGGATGCCATCCAAGTTGGTTAGACAGAACACAATGGATGTCATCTAATTTGGTAAGACTGAGAACACAATGGATGCCATCCAAGTTGGTTAGACAGAACACAATGGATGCCATCTAAGTTGGTTAGACTGAGAACACAGTGGATGCCATCCAAGCTTTATAGCGGATAAACATGGCGGATGTCACCTATACAGCTGAGAGTATAAACACAGTGACTGTCCCCTAACCAGGTTAGAGGATAAATATGGTGGACCTAATCTAAGCAAAGTGTTGCAGTTTATTCACAGCATATTTTTTTTATAGGTAAGTAACCTCTATTTTACAGGTACTGGGGAAAATAATGGCCAATACAGCCGCCAACACACCAGAGATATAAACTAATGTATTTATTTGTAAGCCTGGCGTGTTCTCCCATAACTTTCACAGTGACATCTTGGATAATGCAGAATGAGAAACATGATGTTATGCTTTGTACAATGATAAAAAAAAAAAAAAAAAGGTTCACAAAGAAGTCGTTTGACAAGGACATGTGACCAGACAAGTGGCGATGGTTGTTCACAAATCAGTAGCAACATGATCCGCTCAGAAACATTACGAACTGTTAATGATTGTAACATGCAAAACACTGTAATCAAAACAGAACATTCGATATTGATTAAATGGACGGCTATGAGATTTGTGTGAATAACAGGAAAGGCAGAGAGACATGTTATCTGCAAACTCACCACTTCATTATTCTCATCGCCAAGATCCACCGTGCTCAGCTGGCCAGTTTGAAAAAAGCTTTGGCTGGAGTACTATGGAAAAACAAATGGTGAAGGACTCTATAAAGTGTGACAATGGCAGCCGGACGGCTCGATAGAAAGTAACCATGCATGTATCACCAACCTCTGGCAATACACAATGCTACTGATATATGTTAACCTTGATACTTCCAAACCCCGCATCTCCCTCATTTAACCCCAAAACACACATTGACCTAATGGGGATAAAACAAAAATATAAAGTTACTAGATGTGGGAGATGCCATGGTTTCTGTGGCAACAGAGCTGACAGACAGTTTGAACACAGACACATCGCTAGATATATATACACAACATGCGTTTTGTGACCACATTGCCTCCCCCCAACACATACACAATGCATTCTGGGAGGAGATTGGATCTGTGCTTCTGAGTGACCATTATTTACAAATTCCAACATATTCTGCAGCGCTGTACAACAAGTGCACAAGACAAGTCACTGCAACAAGACAAGTTTGCTATACAGAAACAAGAGTGTTGTTGATGGCTGTGCATGACTTTGAAATTTCTTCCTTTCCAGTTCCACATATTTGGTGTATTTTCGCAGAATATTTATAATCTGGTTTTGAATTTCCAGTTACGCTGGATGCATTGTACCATCATGCAGAACATTCACACATATACTGCATACCATTTAGCACGATTTAATACTGGTTACACGGTTACTTCCTCTACTAAAACACTTTGCAAAACGAGTTCCTTGATTGACTTACAATAATTCTAAGCTATCGCTGCCCAGCACTCAGGGGTTAACCACTGTTAGAGGAAGAATGCAAAAAGCTATGGAAACAATGTCAGTGATGCTCCAAACAGGTCAACAATAGTGATGTCCCGAAATATTCGCCGCGGACTCCGGTCAGCTGACACATTCCAGCCAATCAGCAGCAGACCCTCCCACCTCCTGGACAGCATCCATTTTGAAGCTGCATTCTTAGTGAGCTGTCCAGGAGGTGGGAGGGTCTGCTGCTGATTGGCTGGAATGTGTCAGCTGACTGGAGTCCGCGGCGAACCGTTCGGAGAACAGTTCGGGACAGCACTAGTCAACAATTGTGATTTTTGGGCAATCTAAAAGAATATATATATATATAAAAATGTTTTTATCGAAACAAACATACAGCTACGTACATCCTAAAAACTAGAATGCATTGCATTTTGGTTTTATGAAGACAATATTCTAGATGAACTCTTAGTTAGTATCACCGTCTCCCATTCCCCAATATCTCTTCCATAAATGGACACTTTAGCTGAGCTCAGTGTAGGGGTTATGGATCTTCTGAGATAGATCGACAAAAACCGAGGGCTCTCACTGCCAACCAAAGACCAATCTCTCCATCTTAAAATTTGTGAGTTACACCTATAGCCTTTCGCAGCACTCCCAGCCAATCACTGCCGGCTGGGTAAGGTGGAACTGACAAATTATGTGGAAAGTGTAAATTACATCTGAGAAAGGGACAGTACTTTATTTTTATAGTTTGAAGAAAGAAAAAAAAATGCCAACGACAACGGATAGGAAACATCAAAATTAGGAGTGCTTGTTGAATAACATTGACATCTGTGATATGTGGATGGAACAATCGCTGCCCTCACACTTTGCAAATTCTCTCAAAAATAGTTGTAAAGGGAGAATTTCCTAAGAGGTCTAAGCCACACAAAAGGATCTCGGTATTATATTGCAACTGAATGACTTTCACGATAGCCATCCTTTTTTTTTTTATGAACGGTCTCTTTAAAGTTCTAGCAATCTACACTTTGTTTTGTGTATTTGCATTTGAGATAAGAGTATTCAGTTCTGTCAGTTTTCTAGCCAGGCAAGTAATCTATAAAAGCCATAATTGCAGAAGTACAAAGCTTTGAGTGGTGCATTTTCACAATGCATTGGAATTTCACAAAAGGCAGACTGCTCTGTGTACGAGCCGAAGAAAACACGTCACAGCCCAATACCTGAGCCTGCTGACTTGAAGCCAAGCAGAAATATCTGTAGGATCTACTAATCAAAAGAGAAAACTGACGAGATTTGATTGCTCAATTTTCTTAAATACTGTAAATAAAAGCATTTAACTTCCCTTTCCTGATTCTCTAAACGGTTAGGTTGTTATAACTGCAAACAATCCTTTAATCTTTCTGTTTATCAGTAAGCACGGCCTATAACAGCACAGTTTGTATATAAAACATTCTCCATCTGAATATTCTGTAAGCCACTGAGACAAACTCTGAATTCTAAGGTCTGGAGATGGACCCAAGACAGGGGATATTTTAAAGCAAGGTTCTCCAAACATCTCCCATGATTCACTGGTTATCTATTTATTTCAAAGAATAATGGGAGTTGTTCAGCAACATCTGGAGGGCCAGAGTTTGGAAAACCCGGTTTAACAGTAACAGGAACCACACTTCTGGTATTGTAACTCAACATCTGGACACGACAGAAATGGCCGCTGTGGTGTGTGGTGGAACTAGGGATAGGACAAGATACAATGTATAGAAGTATATACACAATCTCTAGTTTAAATCACCACCACCTCCTACCAGATCTGCAAAATATATTTGTTCCATTTTGCCATCAGTGGAACCATTTATTAAAGTGTCAATTGCTGGAAAATCATACAATTCTAATTTTTATAGCAATAGTTGAAATTCAAAAATTCGCCAAGTCAGCGTTTATTTCAGCATGGCTGTTTTGGCTCAAAATGTAAAAATGCACTTTAGATGAACAATTCACAAATTAGAGAATAAACTGTATAAATAACTCAAGTTAAACATGTGGCTAGGACACTGCAAGGGGAACTATATCATTCATATTGAAAATGGGCTGTTGCAATGCTGATTATTGATTAAAAGACTACAAAAGGACGTTTTGATTAGGCAAAACTGAATTAAAAAAAACGTTCGTCTTACTTTGAAAAACACCCGAAGCAACCAGAACAATGCAGGTAATAAGGCATTTTACATGCTGCGGTAGACACACCTGCCACAAAGGTCTGGCTCTAATGGATGTGTATTAAACTGATTTCCCACTCCCAAATCAAATACAAAGCTTGCATTTATTAAACAAGTACATACGGCTACCAATTTTGTGAACCAACTGCTTTCAGGATCACTGCATCCACTAATTCTATGAAATAGCCTTAGGGGAGAAATGCATCAACATTTTGTTTGAAGTCCCTACAAAACGTCCAATTCCACTATCAAGTATAACTGTCTTAACCCCTTAAGGACACATGACATGTGTGACATGTCATGATTCCCTTTTATTCCAGAAGTTTGGTCCTTAAGGGGTTAAAGAGACATTAAGCACAATAACAGCTACAGTTTATGATGGAAGTAATTCACCCATAAAACGTCCCTTTATTCTCTTGATAATCTTAATGTGCTAACAAAAGCTGACTTTGAAAGTATCAAGGATGCTTTACAGAGCTTCAGACCAAGAGGATGTAATAATCTGTAAATACTGTATTATAAATGTAGAATTCCTTCTGGCTACCCCATATAATGGCCACGGGTGCCACAGGAATATTCACTGTGCTACCCAAAAGTGTTCAACAACCATATAGGGTTAAATGGCCCAACTATAGCATGATGGAAAAATCAAAATCAAGAAAACGTGACAAACTACTGGAAAAACTAGGACAGTTCTTAGAAAACGTGTTCTCGTAATCAGTCCAGAGTTAGATGACTAGCCACCATGTGATTCTGAAATCAGGAGACATTGACCACCAATTTCCCAGAGGGAAAAGATAAGCCACATTGGTTCTGTCACCGAATTAAAAACTTGTCTATTACAAAGACCTCCAGACACCATAACAACTTCATTAAGATGAAGTTATTATGGTGCCCCTAAATGCCTGAAGTTGCTAAACATACAACTTATAAAATTCTATTTGCCAAGGCTAAACGTTCACTAGCCAATAGCTGGTTTCAATGCTGCTCCCAGCTCTACACTAAACCGCACAGTAATTAAGATTCTATAACGCAGGACACGCATTACATCTCATGGTACACAGTACTCCCACCAGTAGCAACGTAACACGAGAAATGTCTGGAAACAACAAGCATACATTGTGATCTTGATTTCACATTTTCTTTGGCAAACTGACAAAAGGAAGATTTAAGAACACACTTGAGGATAGCAGTAATAAACACCATATGACCAGAAAGAATGGACATGTTTCTGTATTTAGAGTGTCTAACCCGGCTACATTATTATGGCATCGGATAGTCTGAGACACACGAGTCCAAATTATATTCCTAGCAAAGAACCTCTCCTAGACGTTTTCAATGGCCACTAACTACCTACACCTTACAGAAATTCTGTTTTTATTATATAAATAACTTGCTAAAGCCACTTCAGGTTATTTCATTTTTTTAAATTAATATTATTGAGATTTCTATATTCTAATTGTGCATTTGCTTCAGTCTTTTTAATGGTACATCTCTCTTTGTGAAGCTTGACGACATAGTAATTACAGTACAACAGGAAAGGAAAATGCTGATAAAGTCCAACATTATGATAAGACATTTATGAATTAAACACAGATTAGCAACTAACTGATAACCAAATTTGAAGATGTAGTCTAAAACAGCAAAGCTGTGACTAATGCTTAAATTGGAAATTATACTAAATAAGCTACTATAAAGACTCGAAAACAGAATTTGCAAAATTTAGGTTATAATAGCCTAAAAAAAAAACAACCCAGTTATGATCATCACATTGCTATTTTAATCTGAAGTTTGTATCAGTGATTAGACAATGAATCGGCCTAGAAAAGTATAGGTTTTTTTGTTGTTAAGCTCAAGTATCATTTTCCAGAGACGGTTATATCTCTGGTATTTACAATACTACTTCTTTATCTGAACCGACTTGCATCAAGATTGTCTCTTTACTCCATATCTTCAGCAGCTCAGTGCTAAGAATGTGATCAAGGAGATATCCTCTTATAGCTGGTCTGCACAAACAAGTCAGCACTGATTTCAACAATCAGTTTAATATATTAGGAAAGGTTTTGGGCAACGCATGGGGTTTGTCTATTGCACCACTAGAAGTATTAAAAAAAAAAAAAAGCAGCATTTACAAAATGTTGCAATATATAATCAAAATTGGTTCAAAATAATTCATATTAGCATCTTTAAATCATTAGCATTTGGAGAGGAGAAAAAAAACTAAAAAACTAAATTCAAAGCATGTGAGATGTCGCTATAGATTATTTATCACCATTCTCGAAGACTGAAACAAGACTTCCTTTGTAGAGCCACCAGTGTATGATGTAAAAAGAACACATTCCGAATACTAAACTGCAACACTGCAAAAGCATTTACAGAGATCGTCACTAAAATAAGAACTTTTGTGAATTGAATGGGATTCGAGAATAAGGCTTGGCTAATATGCATTAAAGGGGAATTTCACATTTAGGCCAAAACAGTAGGAAACAAATAATAATAATAATAATAACAGCCTTGGAAATGAATTTGGCCAAAATTCTAAAATTCAGTTTGAATTCCTGACAATTATCTGGTCACTTCCTGGTTTGATGGATAACATTTCCCTTACATACCTCCTGTTGCAGCATTTGCTCATATTTTACCTCTTCTGTAGATTTCCACTAATTCTTTTCCAGCAACCTACCTCACAAATTCCCACTAATCTGGCCTGAGGTTTTCTCTGGCTACAGAGCCTTCAGTGACTTCTCTCCAGGTCTCCCCTGCAGTGCCCAGCTCCCACTCACTGTGGCCTTAGGCCTCCCCTGTCTGTCCAGCTCCCACTCACTGTGGCCCCAGGTCCCCCCTGCCTGCCCAACTCCCACTCACTGTGGCCCCAGGTCTCCCCTGCAGTGCCCAGCTCCCACTCACTGTGGATCCAGGTCCCCCCTACCTGCCCAGCTCCCACTCACTGAGGACCTGTCACCCCTGGCTGCCGGGGTCCCACTCACTGAGGACCTGTCACCCCTGGCTGCCGGGGTCCCACTCACTGAGGACCTGTCACCCCTGGCTGCCGGGGGGTCCCACTCACTGAGGACCTGGGGGGGTGGGGTCCCCCTCACTGAGGACCTGGGGGTGGGTCCCACTCACACTGAGGACCTGGGGAGAGGTGGGGTCCCTTCCACTGAGGACCTGGGGGGTGGTCCCACTCACTGAGGGACCTGGGGGGTGGGGTCCCACTCACTGAGGACCTGGGGGGTGGGGTTGCCATGGGACACAGGTGGGGTCCCACTCACTGCCCCTGAGGTTTTCGCAAGGGGTGGGGTCCCACTCACTGAGGACCTGGGGGGGTGGGGTCCCTCACTGAGGACCTGGGGGTGGGGTCCCTACACTCACCTGAGGGACCTGGAGGTGGGGTCCCCGCTCACTGAGGGACCTGGGGGTCCCCGCTCACTGTGAGGACCTGGGGGTGGGTCCCACTCACCTGAGGACCTGGGGGTGGGGTCCCACTTCACTGAGGACCTGGGGGGGTGGGGTCCCACTCACTGAGGACCTGGGAGGTGGGGTCCCACTCACTGAGGGACCTGGGGGGTGGGGTCCCCGCCACTGAGGACCTGCAAGAGTGGGTCCCCGCAGGATTTCAGGGGGTGGGGTCCCACTCACTGTGAGGACCTGGGGGTGGGGTCCCACTCACTGAGGACCTGGGGGTGGGGTCCCCACTCACTGAGGACCTGGGGGGTCCCTCACTGAGGACCTGGGGGGTCCCACTCACTGAGGGACCTGGAAGTTTACTCACACTGAAGGGACCTGGGGGTCCCACTGCTGAGGACAGCCTGGGGGTCCCACTCACTGAGACCTGGGGGTCCCTCACTGAGGACCTGGGGGGTCCCTTTCACTGAGGACCTGGGGGAGGTCCCCTTCACTGAGGACCTGGGGGAGGGGGTCCCACTCACTGGGGGACCTGGGGGAGGGTCCCTCACTGAGGACCTGGGGGGTCCCACTCGCACTGAGGACAGGGGGTCCTCACTGTGAGGACCGGGGAGGTCCCACTCACTACAAGGACTTGGAGGTCCCACTCACTGAGGAGGACCTGGGGGTCCCACTCACTGAGGGACCTGGGGGTCCCACTCACTGAGGACCTGGGGGGGTCTGTCAGCTCTCTCACCCTGCCATGCTGCGCTCCGCCTGTGTTGGTGCCATTTAGCAGTGGGGTGCTCTCCCCGTCCTCCTCCGGCGGCTGTTGATGTTGTGGATGCTCCCGGCCGGACCATGTTACTCTTTTGGACACGTCCGCCATGTCCGTGCTGGCTGAGGGCAGCTCACGGTTCCACTCGCTCTCTCAGAGTACTGACTGTCTGGTCACGTGATCCACGCACAGACAGCGCTCAGAGCGTCACGTGATCCAAGGTTAGCATCTGCAACGGCGGCCGGCGGGGCTCACACCGAGCGCAGAGCATGCCGGAACCTGTAGTTCTTTGCCTGATATTAGCAGGTCAGAGCTCTCTAGCTGGGATAAGTGATACAGTGACATAAAATAAATGGATGCAAAGTGTCAGACATTATAGTGAAACAAAGCAGTTCAGTGTCTGCAAGCAGAGGGAGGAGACACTGAATGTTTGGATGCATTTTAGGCAGCCATGACCCAGGAAGGATCTCTAGCAGCCATCTGAGGAGTGGTCAGTGAAGTTATCACTAGGCTGTAATGTAAACACTGCATTTTCTCTGACAGACAGTGTTTACAGCAAAAAGCCTCCCGCCGCTGGAGAAAGGTAAGATTTTAACCCCTTCCTCTTCCCAGAGCCGGGCGGGGAACTCTCCTCCTCCTCTTCGGCTGAATGCGCATGCGCGGCAGTAGCCGCGCGCGCATTCAGCCAGTCTCATAGGAATGCATTGACAATGCTTTCCTATGGACGCTGACGTCTTCTCACTGTGATTTTCACAGTGAGAAGCACACATGCGCCTCTAGCGGCTGTCAAGAGACAGCCACTAGAGGCTGGATTAACCTATTTATAAACATAGCAGTTTCTCTGAAATTGCTATGTTTATTAAAAAAAAAAAGGGTTAACCCTAACTGGACCAGGCACCCAGACCACTTCATTAAGCTGAAGTGGTCTGGGTGCCTATAGTGGTCCTTTAAAGATTCAGCAATTGACATCACGTCCAGTCCTGGCACTGCAGGGCACACATTGCGCTGGAGAAGGAGATAGCAAGCATTCTGTGTCAGGATACAGATAAATACAGGATTGTGAATTTACACATTTACTTTTATTTTGGAGATTTCACAAATCTATATTTATTCACGATAGCAGATAAGTAAATGTGCCATCTCTGTCCCACTTCTTCCATCCTAAAATACTTCCTTCTTGCTGGTTTCTCTATTTGTGTACAGCTTCCCACCCTTTCTGTTCATCCCTCGGTAGCTGTAGTGTCCAATAACAATAGTTTTCATGTCTCCAGGAAACTCAGCAAAACTTTTGTTTTTAATCTTTAGTTCGGTTAACAACTCTCATAACCAAGAAACCCCATCTGAGAGCAGAACTGAGGGTGTGCACTGAGAGCTGTGAAATCTGTGTATCGGACCTCCCTTGTTACATGTTACCCTTTGCATTGCCTGGTTAAAGGGACACCATAGTCACCTGAACAACTTTAGCTTAATGAAGCAGTTTTGGTGTATATAACATGCCCCTGCAGCCTCACTGCTCAATCCTCTGCCATTTAGGAGTTAAATCCCTTTGTTTATGAACCCTAGTCACACCTCCCTGCATGTGACTTGCACAGCCTTCCATAAACACTTCCTGTAAAGAGAGCCCTATTTAGGCTTTCTTTATTGCAAGTTCAGTTTAATTAAGATTTTCTTATCCTCTGCTATGTTAATAGCTTGCTAGACCCTGCAAGAGCCTCCTGTATGTGATTAAAGTTCAATTTAGAGATTGAGATACAATTATTTAAGGTAAATTACATCTGTTTGAAAGGGAAACCAGTTTTTTTTTCCATGCAGGCTCTGTCAATCATAGCCAGGGGAGCTGTGGTTAGGGCTGCATAAACAGAAACAAAGTGATTTAACTCCTAGATGACAGTGAATTGAGCAGTGAAATTGCAGGGGAATGATCTATACACTAAAACTGCCTTATTTAGCTAAAGTAATTTAGGTGACTATAGTGTTCCTTTAAACATACCCAACAGTGCAGTCTCTATAGACCAGGCAAAGGCAACCTTCGGCACTACAGATGTTTTGGACTACACTTCCCATGATGCTTTGCCAGTTATGGGAGATGTAGTTTACAACATCTGGCGTGCCAAAGGTTGCCTATCCCTGATCCCTGCTATATACTATAATGAGAGGCTCCTGATTGGCCAAGTGACTTCCTGGAGCAGGCAAAGCACAGGGCTGATAAAGTAATGTGTGGGCAAAAGCACAAATTTCAAGGAACTTTAAAAGTGACTATCTTTTATTCTATTGCTTTTTTTTCTTTTGCATATTTTTTGATGCATCAACATTTTTTTAAAAGGAGGGCAGGGCCTGACCATCATGGCACTTGGACGCACATCCAGGGAGTTCCTAGAACATTAATGAATAATCTTATCTGACATTAACTTGGGCTCTTAAGCCTGGGCAGGCACCATCCCCTACCACTCCTGCACTTGCTGACTGGCCTAGGCACACTTCCCGCGGTCATTATAAGCAACAAGTTGGTGCTTCTAGGACCTGTCTGAGACTGTGAAAGGGAGAGGCGGCCGATCTCCCAACCGGCATTGGCAGGAAACCGCTACATGCAACTTGGGTCCCGCAACCCCCTCTATGGACTGGTGGGGGTGATCCCAGTCCACACCCTGGATATGAAGGAGTTCGATGGCAAAGCTGCAGGCTTCGCTACCTCTAACAGCGAGGTCCACAAAATGGCGGACGCCACATGTAAACCTGACTGAAATCTTGTCCCCTGAGCTGCCTAGATGCTATCTTCAATGCCTTTTGGTGGAAGCTGGAAGCCAAGTTGCACGCACTTCAAAGTCCGCATCGACTGACTATCGGTCAACAGGCAACTCTTGGAACTCAAGCACCGCGATTGAAATGGGCGAGGCCATGTGGAGGGCAAAGCGCAAGCTAACACTGAGCACACACGGGCCAGCGAGAGGTCAACTAAGCAGGAAACATGGAGATTGGGGACCTGCCTTTTGAAATATGCACAAAATGAATCTGTGAGATTACCAAATTTCCCAGTCAACACTTCAACAGCACTCCAGCTTCCAGACTGGCAGCACTACACCTCCTGGGGGGACTCTGGCCTGCCTGCTGTTGGCATAGGCTGAGTGGAACCACAACGGTCTTGTTTCATTTGCCCTGAATAACACTGTTACCTTCCCCTGAAGCTAGATGGCATAATGTTGCTGTTATTCTTTTCTTTCCCCTTTTATTCCATCCATGCAGCCTGATAGATCCAGTCAGATATATTGGGCCTGAAGGGCCTAATGTTGGACTACCGGCCTGGGGACCTCATGTTCTACTATTATTTACACTTTCCACGCCTAGCATATCTCTATGTTTTTAATCTTATCTTCAGCAAATCAGTTAGACGTGCATGCATAGCTAAATATATTTTCTCTTTCTATAAAAATGTGCAGTATTCTCACAATGCGGACCTTTTTGTTATGTGTTATATTTTGTATCCGCCAGTGCTGTTGGGGTTTTGCAGGCTAATCTGTCATATTTTCATGTACAACAAAAATAAAGAATTTAAATTTTTTTTTCAAAAAAAGAAGAACAGTTAGTTCCTTTCTGTAGTGCCCTTTTAATTACATCCTGGACAACCTCAAAGGAATTACTATAATAATAAAAAGAAGCGGAACAACCTTAACCCTCTGCTCTTGTTGTGGTAAACATGTATAAAATACAGAGTGAAAATAGGATATGGAGTGAATGTTGGCATAAGTAAATGTATCTAGACATGCAACACTTCATGTTGACTAGAAGCACATGCAAATTCTGCCACCTATGTGTCTCATACCCCCGCCAGCCACTCCATGTGTCTCATTCCCCCCACCCTCCCCTCTACACATCTCATCTCCTTCTGCAAGACCCTCCACACGTCTCTTTCTCCACCCAGTCCCTCCATGTTTATCACCCACTCCCTAGCCCCCCATATGTCTCTCCCACCCCCATACATTTGTGACAGACACATACACACGCACTGACAGACACACACACTGACAGACACAAACAGACACACACTTACAGACACACATGCACTGAGTGACAGACACGCACGCACTGATTGATGGACACCCGCACTGACCTCCTGGAGTGACAGGCCCAGTCGCAGCTGTTAAAACTCACAGTAATGTGCAATATGTATGAGTGTATCACAGAGCTCCACGGTATTAAAAATCACAGTAATGTACAGTGTGTATGAGTGTATCACAGAGCTCCTCAGTATTAAAACTCAATGTTATATAGGGATTTATTTCAGAGCTCCAAAGCAATTAAAATGGCAAAAATGTGCATGGTTTATCTGTTTATCAGTTTATTAGTTTATTTTCAAATTTCCATCACGTCCATTACAGTCCACCATACATCTGTAATGGACATACATCATTTCACATCCATTACAGACTCCCTCAGTACCAAGTCCATACTCATCACAGCCCCCTTGTACATCACAGCCCTCCATCCATCATAACAAACCCATGTGTCTTATACCACCACGTGTCAGTATTACTGCCCAATGACCATCTTGTGGAAGCCCACCTATGAACTAGGAGGACCTTGTGACATTAGGGTAGGGGTAGACAACTTTTGGCACTCCAGATGTTGTGGACTACATCTCCCTGATACTTTGCCAGCATTATGTTTGTAAGAGCATTATGGGGGATGTAGTCCACAACGACTGGGTTCCTATTCCTGCATTAGGGTAATTGATGGAGTTGTCCTGATTGTAAAATGCAACTACAGCGATTCAGGTGTTCCCCTGCGCCATCAGCACAACTCCATCAAGTTGTCCTCATGCTTCCATGTCCACCTGTAAACTGCTAAACATTTAGAGGGGCCGGGCTGGACTGAGAAGACACAGAAGCCTCCTGTAGCTAAGCCCTTATTCTTCTCAAATCAGCAGCCAAGTCAATGTCACAATGTTTGAAATAATAAGGGATTTGCCTAACTCTAATCCCACAAGGCTTAAAGATTTGTTTTTCCATATGTTTAAAGTAATTTTCGGTTTTCAATTAAGCATTTTAAAAAAATTTGTTGAAAAAGTAGTCAAGTCCAGTTTGGTCAAACAAGAATGCGTGGGTTTCATTGGGCAGTGACTACCAGGACATGAAGGTTTTGGTGACTGGGATGAAGTCTACCTCCTCATCTTGCTAAAAAGTCACCTGCTAGCCCTCTAATGTCCTTTCATTGAACCTAGACACCTCTTGTGCCACTGGAACAGTGGGAGATATGACATGTTCTCTGCTGAACCTCATGCTGATCCATTTTGCTCTTCTAATTATCTCCTCTGCCCTTTTCTTGAACATCTGTCAAAACGCGTTGTGTGTTCTGAGTCCCCTCCAGCACAGCGATGCGTTGATATAATTCCACCAGTAGCTCGTTGTGACCATTCAGGAGCTCTGTCAGGCTGGCCACCTTCTGGGATAGTTTCTCTACGTTCGCTTTGTAACGCTTGTTAGATCCTGAGGAATTATTTTTGCCTTGTACGTGAATGGTTGTGGTTTGAGCTGGCTGCTGTCTGGAGTCTGTCTGGTTAACATCAAGCTGGTTTTCGGACACTGTCCTATATTCGCATCTGCACACTTCTTCCACACTCTCTGCCTTGCGTTGAATCTCTGCTACTTGCTTCTCGATGGCATCCATTCTGGAGGTCAGATTGCCACTGAAATCTGACATTTCAGTTTTTACTTCTGAAAAACACATGTAATCATAACTATTACCCCTCACTAATTTGTTATAGATTTGCAATATAATTTTTACTGTTTTATTTTATAAAGCACCAACATATTCTGTATCAATGTACAATTGTAATAAATCACACACAGGTAACTCATAATTACATAAAAATTTAATTTCACTTTAACAAGGACTTAGTAAAGATGCACACCAGTATAAAATGTATTTTCTCTTAACTTAATTAACTGAAAATCAAACTAATTCAATAAAATATTTAAAGTAGATTAAATGAAGATTACAAAGATTCAAGATTATTGCATCACAATTCTTTCTGTTTTGAATGTGTGGATAGCAGAATATTTGTATATACAAGGAAAGGAGTATCACGTTGATATTTTAGTGCCAAGCTGGGCAGGGACTGACGGAGGGTGGCAAATGATTCTATAACTGCTAAAACGTAAAGAATTTGGACAGTTTATTTTTTAACCTGCAGTAACACACAAGACCACTGGGAGTGTTTACAATGCTGCATTCATTTCAGAGGCTAGATTGGTAATGGCCAACCATCCACTCTTCTGGCTGGGCATCATGGAAGTCTTGTATCACAAAATGTTTAGAATCACTGAGCTAAACGTTCTCTATTCTGCTGCTATTTATGTTCCATACAGACTCTATTAATGAGTGTTTACTTTATTTGAACAGCCGTTATCAGTTGTTCCAACCTTTTTAGAACAAAGAGACGACTACCTTGTACTTTTCATGGCTCATAAACATCACATTTATTTGCAGCCTTACTTGGGAGTTATGCGACAACTATAGTGCATAATTCTAGTTAAATTGAATTACAGGTTTTAATTGACTGCTTCGTGGGAATACATATTATTATTAGTAAAATACATAGTTAAAGGGGCACGCTGAGGGACATTCTTAAAGGGGCAGTCCATGGCCCTCGCAGCCGGGGCCCTTCGCAGCCTCATGGGCAGTGTGGCAGATTCATTTCTGCATGTTCTGTCTGTGTTCAAAAGTTAATGGGGAACTGAATCCGCCACACTTTCTATTTAGCTGCCTGTGGGCTCCAAAACGGTTTGACAGGAAACCGCTGCTGGGTTTCTCCATACCCACTGGAGACTGGGAGAAATGTCTGGAACAAAAATGTAGAATCTTTTTGATAGCTAGTAATTTACTCTGTTTTTGGTTTTATTAGTTTTCTTTTATATCTAATAACTAGATTAATTGATTTTCCTGGTTTTTAGTACCGTATAATGGACTGAGTGAATGGCGCCATTGTAATACAAATCCAGACATTGTCCTCATGTTGGCGTGAGTACCTTGGCAGGACACGGCAGACTGGCGAGTCATCCTTCTTAATTTGGTCCACACCTCGTTCTGCTCCTTCAGAAGCTTCCGGAACTGAAGCCATATTTCAATCAAACCTATGTGGAGTCTGGGGACCGCCTGTAACAGATCCAGGGTTTAAAAATTTTTTTAAAATATCCATTATTGTCTTTTTTTTACAATTCTCTACTGAATCTGGAGCAGTCATACGCAAGAAGAAAAATCAGAACATCAGCGAGGAATGTTAAATGAAACACAAAAGTTCTAAATCAATCAGTAGTCCTGAACTATATAAGTCAAACAAAGAAACAAGCAAAACGCATTCACTGAGCCTTTTTATAATAGTTAAAGAACATAAACGAAAGCAAAAGTAGCAAAGCAAGGAAGAAGATTCTAGAAAGGAGAAGTAAGGGAGAGTAAAGAAGAAAGTAGGAGGGAGAGGCACAGTGAAACGGGGAACGATGTTCCTCTCTAAGAACCAAAAACAGAGCATTTTATGGAAACGGATGATGAAAATCAATCCAGAGATCCCATGTTTTGTGGAATGCAATCTGTCTAAACCCCGGTCCCTTGGGGGCCACCCAGGATTGCATTAAGCTCTACCATTATCATGTCTTTTATCTTTATTGTAACCACTGTTATGAAAAGGGGGGCTCGTTCCACCAGCCCTGAGCTAATTGTCTCCTAATCACCAGGGACATTTTGGGCAGATGCTTAACCCCTCGAGGACACAACTTCTGGAAAAAAAGGATACCATGACGGAATATTCCGTCATGTGTCGTTAAGGGGTTAAATTTCGCTCTTAATAAGGGGTCAAATGAACGGGACAGGAGAAACACCCAGAAGCACATGTCGATAGGTTCATGTTTTTTGGTGGAAATATGTAACATGAAATGTGGGGTGCATAGCCAGCACATAAAATTACAGCAACACAGGGATTTTGTGTGTAAAGTTTTTTGTGCATACTTGAAAACGAGAGAAACCTCAATATTTCCTTCCTGGTAAAATATTTTATAAATAACCACATTAATGAATAAATAAATACATGTACATGTTGCTGCTCAGATACACTGTTAAAGAAAATGAAATAACTACATTTTCTTTTATTATAATACACGATTTCACTTATGAAGAAAATCGGAGAGGGTATAAAGTAATAGAGATTATGGGGCATTTCTCATCTAACAAGATACACATTTTAGTACATACAAGAGTTGAGAAACTGTAATATTAATGAAAATGCTTGTGTATACAGGCCTCTTTATGTCATACGGCATTGCAGGATACTATTGCTGTCTACATATGTACACTAATCCATGCCTAGAGTCCATCTCCCCCTTGTTGTGATCATGCATTATCCTGTATATTTGTCCATGTGGCTCATGTACATTGGGCGATATATTAAATATATAATCGTTGATTTTCTTTACCGGTACTTCTTTTTCTCCTTCCGTTTGTCACTTCTTACTTGATCTGTGAATAATATAAGCATTTTGGCTGTTCTCTACCCATCGATCATAATTTTCCATCAATCATCTCTTGGCCACAGGGAGAGAATTATGAATCAAATACAATGGCTCACCCAATTGTTTAATGATTCGGTTATATGGCCCATTGGCCACATGGAATTCAGATATTCTGCCAACTTGCCAATCACACAAAGTTCAGACAAATCATGATTTGGGAGAAATTAAATTCACAAGTCAGTCATTTCAATCAGATATTTGAGAATCCTAAGCAGCATGCCTTAATTTCAGTCTGCTTTTATCTCCTTACCCTGGTAGTATGGATTAATTGTCCTTATTCTTAAATAGCCATTAAAAAAAATATAGACCTTTTTTAACACATAAAAATAATAATTAAAGTATTTTGGGGGAAAAAAGACTCATTGCTCATATTTCTAAAATGATATGTTTATCTGTTCCAGAATAAATTATCATCAATACCTGCAGAAGATCAATACAATCAAATGAACCAAAACAAAATAGTTAAGTACTGTAAAAAAACAATAAATGTAAGCGAAGTGTAAAGTTTAAAATGCACACACAAACTCCTATTGGTATAATTATAGTGGGGAGTTTGTAGAAAAAGAGCCTCCCTTTCCTTTGGGTCACGCTGTGTACAATTTATCAAAGTAAAAAAAAGTCATAAGCTAAATATTGATCTGAGATTTAGGACCAAATAACTGAGCTTTCATATCACCTCAATTCACTGTTTTGTGAATAAACACTTGGAGCAAGACGGATAGCTCAACCATATGGAAGTCTAGGACAAGCTCAATCCATTGTTTTCTTGGTCATTTACTAGATACTCAAAGGTGATCCTCTTCAAAGATCTGTTAGGGGAGCATTCCGCTTGGCTGAGCGGCCACTCTTGCTCCACACAGCAGAACTAGGGACTATAAGTTTAGCTAACAGTGATTGCTAACAGATCATCTATAATTTATTTACTATCATGCTTGTTAACCAAGTTTAGTTCATGAATTGACCATACTCTGTTAAAATTCAGGTAATTGTTAAAATTCGCACCTGCTTTATTTGCTCGAGAGGCCATCCTTGGAAACTATCTTTGTTCACCAGCTGGAGGGCCTGATCCACTTGTTTCTGAATGTCCTCATCATCCATAATATCCTTATTTGGCAGCAAAAAGCTACCACGACCCTCTTTCAAAACACACAAGTACCATATGGACAGCCATAACAAGATGCCAATCACATTCCTTCCTGGGCACATCATGGCATCTCATGCTGTAGACCTCAGGCGACTAAGAATTCTAGTAAAACATCCTCAAGTCTTCAGAGCTTTCATGTGAATGCCTATAACATGTTAGCCACAGATCTCTGAGTCGGGTGGGACTCGTAACATGATCACAAGATTTTTGGGGCCAAGAGTGGTTTGTTATCTTTGGACAATGTAAGGTCCTTTCTTAGTGGGGGTCCAACTCTGTATGACTCTATGAAAAACAAGAAATGTTTGTTGACTTTTTCTGAAACACATTCCAGGAATACCATTTTACAAGCCTCCATAAAGCTCTGCTAAACATCTGAACCTAACAGGTGACCTTCAAATTGTCCTGTTTACATGACCTCCCATGGCAAATGTATTAAACAGGCTGATTTCTAGTACAATACAAGCTCTTAGGACTAGGAACCTTCTCGAAATTTTTAAAATCACTAATTATTTGTATGAAGTGTCTGCCAATTGTATAGAGTGGTGAAATACAACAGTGCCATCCAAAAATAATTGTAACACTCCATTTAATCAACAGAGCACAACAAGTATCCATGATTCATGTTTTTAATATAGGTTTAATACTTAAATTAGTGCGGCCACAGCTAGATTGATAGACAGGTCTGAAAGGAGAAGGAGGCCCTACTACAATATTGGCATTCGGGTGGGGTGCATGGGAAAGGAACTCTGTTAGACCATAGTTGGTTTGAAAGCCCTCAACCTCTGGGACATTAAATAATTCCAATGTAAACCTCTGGAGACCTTATACCATTTTTTGGTTGGGAAATACCACAGTGGGAATATTTATGGGAGGAGATTGCAAATGTATTAATTACTGTATTAATGGCTTATTACTTATGCCAATGAGTCATCTTCAAAGGAATCCAGGACATTTTCACCACACAATGATCAAATTACTTTTTCATTACATATTAATGCTATTCATTACTACGTTAAAAAAAAAAATCTGCACAATTTTTTTTTGTAAAAAGTTCACATTAATGTTTTTTGTTGAGCCAAAACAAGATGTTCTTATAATATTTATTCATACTGTTATAATAATACTTGCAGCAATTAGTCCAGATTTTTCCACAACACCAGTTGTCATGTACCCCAAATACCAGACGCGTTTAACATTATTTTACAGATACATAGCCATAACACAATAACATTAGATATGAGACCAGCCCAGATTGGACAGCGAATATAAAGCACCGTTTCATCCAATTCGGGATTAAACTACAACTCCCATCAATCTTGGACAGCCTTTAATGCTGTAAGCTGTTCACTCCAGTTTACAAAATTACATTAGCGCGGCTATTCACTATATAGTGAATTTTCAGGACTTGAAAGAGAATTGATAATGAATTTAAAGTTTAAAAATCAAAATAGCCAGACTGCAAAGGTAGCTGACTTGCAGAATCTTTGCTATTGAACTATTTTGGCCTGAAGTTTAAAATGTACATTTAAATCACGGTCCGTAATACACCATATATTTTACAATGGATCTGTAGGGGCTAATTGTAAATACTCATCATTAGGAGGTCCAAACCATGACTTTTGTTTAAAAAAAAAAGATGGGTGCATTCAGCACTCACTCATCAAATCCTGCTGTTTGACATTATTATTGTAAATTAAAATGAAATAGTATGACTCATTATAAAGAGAAATTGTCCTTTATGGAATTGGATGGGGAGGATTACTTCATAACCTAAAATGATAGGAATGTGATTTGCTTATATATATAAGCAATATATATATTCCATGGGTTAGTGACTCGTGGTTGTTTATGATGGAATCTTCTAAGAGTCACCTTATTACAATATAGCCAGCAGTCCACAAAGTTTGTCATAGTTCATGTTTTTTTAAGAAAATATTGAGATAGGAAATAAATACATGGTTTATTATTATTTATTTTCTTTTTTCTTCAGATGTGTCAGTACTGTCTACAGACAGTGCTCCAGGCAGGTACACTCCACTCTCTTCACTGACCCATGCAACTTAGAGGCATCAGACAAGGTAAGGATGGTGCCTCTGGGTAAACCTTTCCCGGTGGCAATGCCAGACACTTCTCCAGGAGATAATGCCCTGTTCCACATTGCAAAGCCAGCCAGATGTCCAACAAAAGCTTCTGAGCTATCAAATCCTCCACCCATGGTGTCCTGTTCTTGGCCGAGAATCAGCGACCCCCCGGGAGGTATCTCATAACCTTTCTGAAACCTGGAACCTGTGGAAGCCAACCTGCGGTCAACATAAAACCAGTATCTGCCCTGGATGGATGACCAAATGAAGCAGGTGTGATGCCAGCTTCCATCGATAAGATGCACCACGGGGAGCTCCCGAAAGGCTGGATCACCGATGACAAAATGGAGGGAGTCATAGTCTACACCATTCCTGCCATGGATAACAAATTTGTTGTCATTATCTTCTGTGGCGTAGGAAAGGATTGTTCCAACATAGCTGGCATTGGTCTTTACCCAAGTGCAGACAGAAAATTCATGAAGGCCCTCTCTCAGGCCTTTACCAAAGGTGACATAACTTTCAGTAGAGGAACTTGGGAAAGTCAGCATGGACTCCACATTACAAACTGGGAAGAGAAAGAAAAACAAAATATATATATTAGTGGAAAAACTGAAACTCTTATTGATACGTATCCGGGGAACCTATGGAAAATGAATGTCCTCTTATCAGCTCTAATCTCACTGTACTTGTATAGTGTACCCTGGCACTGTCACTCCTGGCACCTGGGGCATTCTCAAGCAATCAATGCTTCCAAATTGGCCGAAATTAAGATTGAAAATGGTGAAATGATAATTCAGGATTATCAATGCCGCTGATATGGGAACAGGGCTACTAACTAAATTGCTCAATTATAGACGTGAAATGTGGATTGCAGAATCTGATCAAAACCTGCTGATTTAAAAAGAAAAATACCAACTCAACTGTAGTAACGGTTTAGTATTCTAGTCTGAATTGTGCAAATCATATTTCAGTTCTCTACAATTCTGTGTTTACTGAATGAACCCTCTATATACCGCTTTTAGTGTCCTATATGGGTGATACACGTAATATGGAGTTATTTAGTAAAAAGTGAGAATTCAAACAGAATTTCAAAAATGAGGACAGAGTAGCCAAACTGAAAGCATAGCTGATTTGGTGACTTTTTCCAGTTTGACTAATCTGGCCTTAAATTTAAGATTCCGGTTTGAGGTTTCATTTTAGTGAATAACTCTAAATTAGCTTCATGGCGATATCAGCCGTGCGCAGACCTACCAGGATATTATAGAGACAACTGCGACATCTAGTGGATACTAGGGATTACCATTTTCCCAAACTCCCACATTCACAAATAAGCGGAAGCATATAAAACCTTGAATTATATAATTCATTTCATCCAGCTGTCACAGTTTAGAAAAACAAAAAACAAAAAAAAAAAGTTCTATCTTGTTCCCATTACTCCAATTTCTCCCAAAAATAGCTGAAAAGGAAAACATTCGCTAATTCGCCCAATCTCCGAGCACAGCTCCTTTGGCCTGGAATTCATAATTCCGTTGCCATTTCTCCACAAATTCTAGTTGCGTAAATAAACCTCTCTGGAATGTTTTCACGAAAATGCTGAATTGTTGATAACTGAATTTCAAAGTGTAAGTAAAAATTCTCCAACCTAGCTATAGCCACAGCTTGATTTTTCCTTATACGTATTTTGCCAGTTTTAGTGAATAAATCCCTTTGTGTACCTTTCTAAAGGGCTGTAACATACCTCCCAATTGTCCCGATTTAGGAGCACAGTCCCTATTTTGGACCAAAATCTCTCTTTCTCCTTTTTTCCCCTCTGTTCCTCTCTTGTAGGAGCTCCATATTGTTGGGGTGAAGGCGCTGCTTCCCTACACCCCTTTCCAGTATCACCTATTCTAAAGGTCAGAAAGAAGAGACTGCGGTTTGGGAAGTGCCAGCGTCAGAAATCCTTCTTCTTATCTATTCTGAACTTTTGTTTTTAGAAATCAGTCTTAGTAATTTATCAGTAAATTTCATTATAGTTTCATATATTGTTATTAGTAAATGATCTAAACTTTCTCAGAATAGCTGTATGACTATGTATAGTCTGGAACCCCTACATGTGGCTAGACCTCAGTGCCCTTACAAGCGGGTGAAACGACAGAAAGTGTGATTGGTGCTGGAATAAACAAAGTTACCATTCAGTTACATTCATTTACAATTATAATAGATATTACAGCATTTTATGTTAGATCGCTGACAGGGAATTGTCTTTATTATATTATATATTTTATTATAATACATGCTATATTGCAAAGTTGATTGATTGTAGCCCTTTAGTTTATAAATCAACATTTAATTTTAAAGGAACATTATAGAGCAGGCTTCCTCAAACTCCGGCCCTCCAGATGTTGCTGAACTACAACTCCCATGATTCTATGAATTAAATAGATGGGCTGAGAATCATGGGAGTTGTAGTTCAGCAACATCTGGAGGGCCAGAGTTTTGTGAAGCCTGTTACAGAGTTATGAATGTATTCCTAACACTATAGTGCTGGAGTGGCTGATTAGGTCTCTGGTCAAACTCAGAGCGGAATGAAAAGGTGATTTTAATAACCTTTTGTCCCTCCCCGCGCTGGTCTTATGACAGCTGGCTCTGCTTCCATGGCTGAAGTCATCAATCGTGATGATGTCAGCCAATCCAATCCTTTCCCATAGCAAAGCATTTGGAGGCTACTGCGCATGAATGTCAAAACACAGGACTGCAACCAGTGGCGTACACATGACCCATGGGGCCCCGGTGCGAAAATTGATCCGTGGGCCCCCCCCTCCCCCCCGCGCTTACTTGGCGCGGGTCGGGGCCGCAACACATGGCGGCGGGCACCCGGTCGCAGGGGTTGCAGGGCTGCGACCCCGCGATGCACACACACTTAAAGGACCACTACAGACACCCAGATCACATCAGCTCAATGAAGTGGTCTGGGTGCCAGGTCCCTCTAGTTTTAACCCTGCAGCTGAAAACATAGCCGTTTCAGAGAAACGGCTATGTTTCACTGAGGGTTAATCCTGCCTCTGGTGGCTGTCTCATTGACAGCTGCTAGAGGAGCTTCAGCGATTCTCACTGTGAAAATCACAGTGAGAAGACACTGAACGTCCATAGGAAAGCATTGAGTAATGCTTTCCTATGGGCGGTTTAAATGCGCGCGCGCCTCTTGCCGCGCATTTGCATTCGGAGCTGAGAGGCGGACACTGGGGAGACCGACGCTGGAGAAAGGTAAATGCTGAAGAGACACACACACACTCTCACGAACAGACGCATACACACTAGCTAACAGACACACACATTTACTGACAGAGACACACTCAGCGACAGACATACATACACACTCACTTACACATACACTTTCACTGACAAACACACACTCAGTAACAGACACACACAGTAACACACTCACTAGCAGACACACACCCAATAACAGACACACTCACTGACACACACACACTAACACACGCACTAACACAAACACTAATACACACACTAACACACACACACATACACTAACACACACATACACTAATACACTAACACACACACACACACTCATACACTAACACACACATACACTAACACACACACACTAACACACACATACTAGGACACACATACACTAACACACACACACACTAACACACACACATACTAAGACCCACATACACTAACACACACATACTAACACACACACACATACTAACACACACATACTAGGACACACATACACTAACACACACACATACTAAGACCCACATACACTAACACACACATACTAAACACACACACACATACTAACACACACACACACACACTAACACACACACATACTAAGACCCACATACACTAACACACACATACTAAACACACACACACACACTAACACACACATACTCACTAACACACACATACTAAGACACACACACACACTAACACATTTTTATTTTTTAAATTTAATCCCCCCAGCCTCCTTACCTATTGGAGTGCTGGGGGGATTCCCTGGGGTCCAGTGGTGCTGCTGCTGGGCTCCTGGGCGGCAGTTCACTGGGTGGGCGGGCTGTCTGTCTGGGCAGGCGGCGCGCGAGGGAGCACTTTCCCCTGAGTGCTTCCTCGCGCGCCCGCCTGCCCGACCGGCCACCCGCCTGCCCGGTGACAGCAGGGCCAGCCTCTGGGGGCCCTGGGTTGGTCGGCTCCTGGGCCCCCCAGGAGAAGAGGCTGGCCCTGTGGCTACATACCGGGTCGCAGGGTCGGCCGGGCCCCCTGGTGGTCCAGGCCCGGTCGCAGCCGCGACCCCTGCGACCCTGGTATGTACGCCACTGACTGCAACAATCAGCATCTCCTCATAGAGATGTGAAAAGATGTCTACATTGAAAAGCCTGCATGGTCAAGCTATAGACACCAGAACCACTACATTAAGCTGCAGTGGTTATTGTGGCTATAGTGTCCTTTAAAAATCAAAATGTTTGCCCACTGAACCCTGACATGGGCTAATAACTGAGGATCGAGACCAGGCAGAAAGCACACATATTCCCCAGTCCCACTCTTCTTAAGGGGTCAGTCTCTGGATTAAAAATTGAGGTTTTATGAGCTACATTTTTTTTCTAAGCAAAATGTAAGTAAAAACGTGTAAGCGATGTCAGTAGTTAAGGGGTTAAACTTCAAAGAAGACCCTTTCACTATGAAATGTTTAGTTAACATTTGCAGCTGAAGTAGGCAGCCTGCAAGAGACAGTGTATGAAAGGAATCTGAGAAAGTTTGGCCCCCCACAGGCATCCTGTAAATCAGTGGGCAGCCTGCTTTTGTATTTGACAGCTATTCTAAACTGGAATTTAAAACATATGTTTGGAAAATGCGAACAATATTATAAATAGCTGAGACTGGCTTGGTTGTATTTTATTGCAACTGCTACATATATAAAATTAGCAGATCGCCATTATTGATTATTAAAAATAAATCATATTTCGTATGTACACACAATGCACATACAAAGGGTTGCCCAATTCACTGCTGTAACTTTTTTGATTGATTCATGAAATATGCTGTCACACAGCAGTCAGCAAAACTCAATTCACTAATCAGAGCGTTCCTTCTTTAATTAATCAATACATTTCCTTATAGCAGTGTTGTAAATCGTTACACTCCTGGGCAGCACTTTAAATGCCTAAACCAACAGCATAAAGAATTCACAGCTGTCGGTTACAAATGGAGATAATGGAAAAATTCACCTTCAAAATAACAGTTATTTAAAGGGACACTATAGTCACTAAAACAACTATAGCTTAATGTAGTTGTTCTGGTGTCTATAGCATGTTCCTGCAGTCATTTTGTTGTAAACACTGCCTTTACAGAGAAAAGGCAGTGTTTACATTACAGCCTAGGAACACCTCCAGTGGCCAAAACTCGGACAGCCATTAGAGTTGCTTCCTGGGAAACTGCTTTTCTGCGGCTCCAAGCTCTGCATATGGAGATGCTGAACGCTTCTCATAGAGATGCATTGAATCAAAGCATCTCTGTGAGGAGATGCTGATTGGCTAGGGTGGCATTTGGCCCCGCCCCACCTCCTTCGTTGAGATCATCAGAATTGACTATCTCAGCCAATTCTATATTTTCCTATGGGTAAGCATTGTGATTGGCTTAGATCATCAACTCTGCGGCGCTGGAAAAAAGGTGGGCAAGGGGTGTGGCCAGATACCCTACATGTGTTTTTAACACTATAGTGTCAGGAATACATGTTTGTATTAATGACCCCATGGTGTTCCTTTAAAATCAGGATTTGTCGTCACTTTAAACCTTATTCCTAACAGTTGACTTACTTGTACCCGGCACCTTAGTACTCTGCTCTGTATGTCTTTGGACCTCAGGGCCATGTGGTGTGGAATTGGGAGTCAGTATGCCAGGAGATCTCTCCACAGTAACGTGTTGGTTGACAGTATGCATTCCAGAAGGTTTACTGTCTGTGACATGTCGGGGTGGTCTGGTAGTTTCAACAGCAGGTGGTGTCTCTTGTGTGACACGTAGCGGTGGCCTGGTAGTTTCAATAACAGGTAGTTTCTCTTGCATGGCAGGCAGTGGTGCCCTTGTAGTTTTGATACCAGGTAGTTTCTCCTTTGCAACATATGGTGTTGTCTTAGTTGTATGAATGCCAAGTGGTGTCTTTTCTGTCGCACTCGGTGGTGGTTGAATGGTTTGAATGCCGGGTGCTTCTTCTTCTGTTGGAAGCACATTCTTGGACTTGTTCTCATGGTGGCTTACGACCTGAACTATTTTCCCTTTGGCAGGAATAAGTTGCTGCTGCTCATTTTGGAGCCTCCTCGTCTGTTCATGCTTCATCTGAAGTTTAGCCATACGGTGTTTGGTAGTCATTGTCTCAGGGTTAGTTCCTGGAGACCCAAGTGGCTTATTTTCTGGGGTACGATTTAGCTCTTGAGTGGCCATCAAAGAATTTGGTGGTAAAACATCATTTTGCAAAACTTCTCGAATCTGTTCCTCCAAAGTAGCTATTTTGCCACCTTGTCGCTTTACAACTTCCCGAAACATCTCCATTCCTTTCTTCAGGAGATTGTTATCCTTTACTAGTTGGTCAATCACACGTTTCTGGCTGTTAAAATTTAATGTCAAGTTGGACATGGCAACATCTCGTACTTTGTTTTCCCTTATCACCTGCTTATTCCGCTCAGTTATGGTGTCCTCCAAAGAGGCCATCTTTAAGTCCAATTTTTTGTTTTTTTTCTGCAGTTTTTTCAGCCAAAACTTTATCCCATTCAGCTCGTTCTGAGTCACCTGGTTAGAGACATTGACAGCTTCTGTATACGACTGTTGCTGGTCCATAATTTGGTGGAAACGTGCATCGATATTGTATGAAATATTGTAGTTTTCAGCAATCCCATGGAGGCGGGTTAGCGTTACTTCCTGGAACCTCCGAAACTGCAGGAAATAACACAGGAATTTAGTGTCAAAGGAGGAGAATTTTCTGTCCCGGTCCACCGTTTACAGGCTACCATAACGCCAGTATAGAAAAACCAAATGTCATCGTAGCCAGAGAAGCTAATGAAAAATAAATTATTTGTTTTTTACTAGTTCTTGGGAATCTTTTCAGCTTGTATTTAGAGTTTTAGCTAGAAATGTGGTTAATGTAGTTTAAACATATAGTTTATTGTTTAAACATATAGTTTTGGTTTAACCTGTCCTGCTGACAGTGTTCCCATGTTTTTCTAGGACACGTGTCCTTTTTTTATGTAGATGGGCAATCCATGAAAGCTAGTGCCTTCCCATATATATGCTGCATGAATGGAATCAGTTTGCTAATTTAAGAGGAACCTTATGAGAATTTATTTGATAAGCATTCTCCTCTGCAGCACAAGAATGCTACATACTACAGAGTAGTACTTTTCATATGATGACCAGCAGCATCATAGAAAAAGAAAAAGATATATGGCCAGGAAAACACATCTGGCAATCCTAATTCTGGCAGATGCAAGAAAGGCTCAGATTTCTAATGTGTATGACGACGTTTAGAGGCCGTGTGTATTTACGTTCATGTCTCATAAGCAATAAATCTTCGGGCGGTGGTCTACATTACAGTGTCTGTTTCTTAAAGGCATATGACTAGTAAACTCATGCATTTTTTATTTAAATGGTTCACTACGGTGACAAGAAAGGTTTTGCCTCGTTCTCTGACAATGAAAGAGTTACATCCATGGTGATATCATGTATTCTATTAAAGGGGACAAGTGGCCTCAGGCATTCCATAATGTGTTGCCAGTACCACCGTGGTTTCCCGGGCAAGTTTAAATTTCTAATGCTGATGGGCAGTGTAGGAAAAGTGCTGCCCAACATGATGTAGACTTCATATGCAGCGAGATGGATAACTAATCAATTCACAAGGAATCTCAAAGGAATTAAAGGGAAAATTTACGTGAATTCTCTAATACTGCCTATGAATTCTACAAACCACAGGGCAGCCCTTTTCATATGCCTCCCATCAGCATGAAGAAAAACATGTATCAAAGTTAAACTCTCACTGTGCTCAGTCAGACTAAATCTTGTGGTGGAAAGCTTCCTTCTGTTAAAATTAGGTCAACTCAGTCTTTTAGGGTCATGGGACTGCAGTCCAAAAAGTGCAGGTGGTCCACAAGTTGAAAAATAAAAGCTTTAAGATGCAGTTTATTTTTCTAAAGTAGGACTGATGAAAGAAAATATACATTCTGTGCCCTGCTTCCCTGACAAAGATCACTTATCACACCTGCAGAGCTGAAATGGGATTTCACAATTCAGAGTTTGTAACGCAACTAAAAAGAAATGTATTAAGCTAAAGAAAATAGCAAATAACAGCACCCCTGGCACCTGCCACCCCTGAGAATCTGCCCACTTTCATAGAGACCCCACAAATCTGTCCACTCGTCCAAGGACACTCAATCACCCCAAATCGCCTTAACCATGTATTCCTTACACCTAACTTACTGAGGATCAACATGCGATGTTTAAAAATATCCCCACCTTATCCCAAAACAGAACCTTGGTCTACAAATAAAGTTCCCTATGTATCACAAAATTCAGTCTTAAACCCACCTGTTCCTCCAGTCTCCGGAAACGCTCAAAAAAAGGTTTTCTTTGCTCGAGAAGTCGTGTTTGTTCCAGTAGGACACCCTGTAGACAGAGTGCAGCCAAGATGAAGAAACTCAACATCGTGGGATGTGCGATAGATACCTTGCAGAAACTGAGGGTCCACCAAAGTCACCAGTTCTTGGTCAATGCGAAGAATGCATTGCTTTCTACAGAGATAGTCGTCCAACTTTCTTTATTCCTTCTCTCATGAATGTTTCCTTTTTCCAAGTCACTTTCACTATACTATTCTATTCCATTTATTTCTACTAAACGTTTATTCCATCAAGACAATTTCTTCTCAGTCTTTGGTTTAATCTGATAATTTTATTTCTTATTTCTCAATTTTTTCTGATTTTTTTTTTTGCGTTCTGTAATTCTTTAGTTTTGTTAGGTGAAAGAGTAATTGGCCTCTTCTCTTCGGTCTCTTTCCCCATCTGATACTTTCTCCTCCTGTGTTCCTCCCCCACACACTTGCTGGTTTCGTCCACAAATAGATGAGTTTTGCAGTCTCTTGGAGCATCTACAACGAGCCTATTTTAGACGCAAGGGAAAACCTCTGTATGTCAGGCACCAGAAAATAAAGTGATATTTAAGGCACACTCTGCAAACCTATCTCCATCTTATTTATATTTAGATCTTTTATGGTCGCCAACTTGTCTGTTTTTAGTTTTAACAACCCCTCTGTCAGCCCCAGAGGAATCAAATGTTTTGCCCCAAATGGTTTAAAGGGAAATATCAAATTAAACTTAAATTTAAAATGCAGGCGACGCATGGCGAGTCAAAGGGCTATTAATAAAACATAGTTTCAAACTTTCAATGTAGCCAAAAATTACAATTTTAAAAATTGGCACCATATCCCGCAAGCTTCCTTTTTGTTCGTTTCTAATACTCTCTAGAATTTTGCAATATATTAATTTTATACTAAATGCCTACATTTTATAAAGCCACGTACATTTAAATAAAAATAAGACGTAACATGTAGATGTGGTTACAGTAATGTTTTGGATATATAAATGGGTTCATTTCTATTTGGTACTAATTTTAGGGTGCACATGCACACAGGGTAAGATTATTTACAAATAATATTATAAGATTCCATTTATTTTGTTGGCCTGAAAATATTATATATTATAATTGTTATATATATATTTTACATTTTAATTCGATTTAATGAATCAAAACAGTTTAGGTAATCCACATATTTAGTAAGAACCCCCAAAAAACTGTGGATAAAAATTTTTTTGCACGGAGTGCACGGGGCAATGACAGCAGTAGGCAAGTTAGGTTGATGAAAACTTTTTTTCCAAGTTCATTATATTTAACAAAAAATATTTTTTTAAATGAAAATGTGTAATTTTATCTGTCTGAGTGGGCAAGTTGGGTCAGATTATACTGTTATCTAACCAACTACCACTCAACTTAACTTGCTGCTGTTGTGACTCCTCTGTGTGAACCTTCATCAGCAGAAAAGTTGGGTTGAGCAGCAGTTGGTCAGATAACAGTAGAGTCTGACCCAACACGGCCTGACGTGAAAAGTGAAATTTTCTCAGAAAAATCAATATACATAATTAAAAAAAATATCATTAAGTTTCATTAAATGCAGAAAGATAAGTCCTGTGCTCACTCCCATCACTGGCCGGCAGCAATGACTACAGTACACATCAGCCCCAATATATAGTAAAAACCAAAGAAAAACAAGTTACCTGCGCTCTCTCCTTAATCCCTATGTATATTTATACAAATAGAGGTTTTTTAGTTACCTCCAATGGCCGTGAGAGGATAAGCCCACCTGCCAACGTCAAGGCAGACCCCCCCCCAGGTGGGTCCTAACTCTAACCATTCACCTTGCTTCCTTGAGCTTCTGGCAAAGATATCATGGGATGGGCAGCTGCATTGTAACAAGGCTGAGTGATAAAAAAAAATGGATACAAATGCAGAAAGATAAGTCCTGCGCTCACTCCCATCACTGGGCGGCAGCAATGACTACAGTACACATGTTACAATGCAGCCGCCCATCCCATGTGTTCCCTATTAAGTGTTAATAATATATAGGGGTGTATATAAAATACCCCTTTCTGTCTCATTAGAGATCTTTGCCAGAAGCTCAAGAAAGCAAGGTGAATGGTTAGTTAGGACCCACCTGGGGGCGAGGGGGGGGGGTCTGCCTTGACGTTGGCAGGTGGGCTTATCCTCTCATGGCCATTGGAGGTAACTAAAAAACCTCCATTTGTTTAAAAATACATAGGAATTAAGGCAGGTAAATTGTTTTTCTTAAGTTTCATTAAATGTAATAAACTTTTAAGACATGGGAAATCAAAAATTTGATGACAGTTGTCTTTTGTCGCCATATTGGCTTGGATTTAAGGATAAAATTGAAGCTTTTACTTGTTAACGACTTTTTAGAGTTAGGGATGCTGCAGATTGTAATTACCAATAATCTCTCCAAGATTAAGCTTGGCTGAGAGTGATGTGAATTGTAGTCCATAGAATCTTCACTGACAACACATTAAGTTAGGCACTGGCTATGTAGTTTGCGAGGTTAGATCTGCTTTCATTTACAGTCTGTAGCAACTCTGGTGAGCACATTTAATGTTGGTGACTATTTGTAGGAGTTAGGGGCACACTGCTGAACCCCTGCACTCGGGGAAAAAGACGCATACCTTTTTAACTCTGTATTGTGAATTGGGAGCTGCTGATAATTACTCATGGTGATAATAATAAATCCTAAAAAAAACTTTACTGAAAAAAGAGCCTTACAAGAAAATAATTTTAGCCCCACCAACGCAATGACTAGAGGGAAAATGATTTTTTGCAGAAAAAACACCTAGTGGTTTAAACATTAACTATGTAACACTCAATAGAGACTTGATAAGGAGTGGCTGGCTCTGTGTATTGTGAGGTTAACATCAAACTAAAGGGTGATTTCACAGGCTTTGCAATGACATCACAGTTTAAAGGTTATTGGCAGCTAACCCAATAACCTGCTAACAAGTGGAGCTGACATAATTAATGACTTATCAGTGACATGTCAAATATAGGTTTTGACTGAGGTGGTTATCAGCGAAAATAGTATTTGACCTCTCCTTGGATAGAGTTATCCTGCTCTAACACTTGTGAGTGCACTACAAGGGTTTAAATATAATATTTTCTGGTTTTATTGGTTAACAGTGGTCTTATACGTGAAATTATTTTACATCAATGTAATCAACCAGGTACTCCATTGTTCCTTATTGTAAATAAACTCTGTCATCTGTTTACGATGGATTGGATTATAACCTTTACAAAAGAAAGAATTTATATATATATATTATATCCATACCTTAGATCCATCTTTACAATGTACAACACAAGACACCATACAATATACTGCATGGAACGCAGCTGAAATTGTAGGTGACCCACTTAAAAATGTACATTTAGTACCAAAGAGACTTTTTAAAGAGCTATATGTGAAAACAGTGAGAGACGAACCTATTTATTAGTTGTTGTGAAGAGTTCTGTTTTATTTTATTTTCGTTTCTCAATGAGTCAGACACCATATAGTTGACATCGATGACCAAGGTTGGTTTTCCTTTGAGTAATTTTCGTTGACGGCAGATGAATTTTTAGCATCCTGTTGGCCACTGTCATTCCCAAAATGACGGAGACTCATGCATTACCTGTTTTATGTTTGACAAAATTCTGTGTTTTATTTTTGTCTTCCTGTTATATGTAAAAAAAGTGAACGTAAATTTTTACTCTGCAGTTTTAACATTGTACTGATTTGTTTTTGCTGAAATCATGCCGGCATAAACATGTACAAAAATCAGTTTGAAGTCATTTATCTGACTAAAATTATTTTTACAGATTTATTCTGAATATATCTCACCTGCAAATTCCACAGGTAAAACTACAGGTAAAATGAATCAAAATCGATTCATTTAATGATTACCAGGAATTTTATTCTGATGAATCATTTAAACTTTTTTTTTTTTTTACACATATTGTATTTAGCATTCACAATAAAAATTGTCTCTTTCAAAGATCTTTTTTTTCTTCATTTTATTACACAGGGGGAGTAAATGTAAAATTACAAATTTTTTATTTTTTTTATTCTTTATTTTTGTTTGTGCATGGTTATACAGTAAGATTCACTTGGCCATATAAAAACAGTGTCATAGCTTGATAAACTTGCACTTTTTTTTTACAGTGTAATAAGAGTAATGCTATATATGTATGTCCCCCAGCTAATCTAGAAGCTTGTCATCGCAGCGATAGGGAGGACAGACATAGGGTGCTCAGGTATAGTATAGATTTAAGGCTTGCTGCGTGTTATTGTGAGTATGAGAGCTCAACACTTTGGGGACCTTCACCCAACAAGAGGACATAAACTAAAAGCCAGTGAAAACCAAGAAGAGTCAAAACAGAGTAATGGAGCATAGCAGTTGCATTGGATGCCTAGTAGTTAGGGAGTCAAGCTAACTAGCCGATATCAGCTGCAACATGAATTTGCCTTCTTTGTGAATGGGACAGTCCAGAACACTGGGCTATATCATTAAAAAATATAACAGGCTTAATGTCTCACTGGGTAACGTTAGAGCAAGGTAAGGATCACCGCCGGAGTTTCTTTGGGGAAGTCACCTTGTCCCACGTGTCTGGCTTCAGCGGGCTGTTAGTTGCGGCATGCTGCTCGGCCTGCAGGGTCTCTGATCTTACTTTCTTGTGCATTCGACCTGGTTGTGGTAAGCTCGATAGAAGAGGGATTCTGGATCATGTCACACCGCCAGCCCCGGGCTCTGCATGAGCTGACCGCTTATGCCCTCGGTTCCAGTACCTTATAAGGCCGGCAATGGGATTCCCGGTAAGCATGTTCACACCAGGTGTTGGGCTGCGGTCCGAGGGGATTCCTCTAGGGGCTCAAGGCCCAGGAAAGCTGTTGTGGTGACCAGGTCTATGCTTTAGGTACGGAGGGTGGATGATGCAGGCGGTCTTTGAGGTGGCTCCTGCAGGAGTCTCAGGAGTTGAGGTGAGGTGCTTCTAATTGCACTGCTGTTTGCATGTAGCGTGTGTGCATGCCTGGTGTGGGTCTTTGAGCCGCCATG